TGAAGACTTGTAATATATGGAACTTTCATCCAGTAGCAAGGACTCATGTGTTATGTATCTAATTGATATATACATGGGGTTAAAAATCTGCAGTAAGAAGAATGTTTGGAAAACAGGCCTAGCTGTAGTAACCAACATGTATTGATTTACGTAATCTTGAATAATTGCTATTTTAGCAATTTAAATGTATCTAAATGTATTTAAATGATCCTGTATGTACTCGCAAAAGTATAAAGGAAGCAATTTCTAGTTGTGTAAATGGTAAAAAGATCAAGCCCATGGTACCCAAATGGTCAAAAGTCTAAAAAACACAATACAAAAAATCCAACTCCAAACAAAGAGAGAACCAAAAGAACTCCCAAATGGTAAATGAGAGCTTTGTTGCTGCTTAGGTAATAAGAAATGAGAAACTTTAATATAGTTGAAATTATTTCACGTTGGTCATTCAAATATCTTTGGCTGAAAAATATTTTTTTGAAGCATATTTGTCAACCAAAGATATGTGAATGATCAACGTCAAGATCCAATCCTAACCTTGATGATAGTAAATGCTGATGTGACAGATCATGCGACATCAGATATGTACATGATCATGCTGATGCGACCATTATCATCCAAAAAACCTATATTCATGCCAATGATGTTCCAATCAAAGACAGTGTGAGATTGGATGGCCTGGCCAGTAATGTTCAGACCAATTGGATGGCTTCGAATAATTTCAATTTTTTTGAATCGAAGCATTTTCAATTATGAAAATGTGACAGATGACATATACCAGCTACGTCAACAACATTTGAACAAACAGGCAATGAAGATCTGATTTCATTGTTACCTGGATCTAGCAGAATTTCATCAATCATGAATGAAATAACGGGGACCAACGAATGAAAAGTGTATTACCATGTGGATAAAATTTGCATGTTTTAAAATCACAACCAACACATTGTTTTGATATAATTGGCTCGCTCAAAAAGTACTGGTCCAATCGCCACCAATTTTCAATATGACTGGTTTCACCACTGTTGACTCGTTTTAATTTCGTTATGTAATTTTTTGAAACCCTTCATACAGCTCTTCAGAGATATGTTGGAGCTTGGATGTGCTGTTTTTGATTTTTATGGATGTATTAGATCATTTTGACATGAAGAAGGAAAAAAATATGAAATACAAGTTTTTGGAGCAATACAAAATGCATCGATATTCGTAATATAGACTGTGGTTTATAGACTATAAAAAAGATGTCAGAAAAATATATTTTAAACTGTATTCTATTTCTATAGGAAAGAATGAATGTTAAGTGTTTGCAAAGCACATTTCCTCACAGTTTGTTCATCATACAACCTTCTGGAGTATTTGCTCTTTGTCTTGAGAACAAAATTGTTTTTCTTTCAGTTTTTTGATTAGAATATTGTAAAAATTTGATATAAATTTTGTGATTGATTTATAAATTTGGCTGATGAATTCAGAATTTATTTGTTTTCAAGTTCATTCCATTTATCCTTAAATTCATTAAGTCTACTTATCTTTTATAATTTGAAAAAAATGTAAAAAAAAGATAAATTAAAAAAATATTGAAATTTTTAGTAAGAGCTGTTGACGGCATAAATGAAAAAAATAAGAAAAAAAATAAAGATTTTGGAAGAGGAAAATATTTAAAAAAAAAACATCTATGCCAAGAAAAAACGTTTACATTATATTTATTTTGAGAAGGATATGTGTGATAAGATATCTTAATATGAAATATTGAAAATTTTAAATCTTATGATAGAAAAGTAAAAATAACGAGATTTACAAAAATTGTTAATTTTTTATTCAAGAAAAAATATCTAAGCTATGGCAATGCAAGTACTTTATACTTTATATTGCAAATTAAATCTTATTCTTAAGGAATGTGCAACTTAATTTAAGCTTATTCAATTTTTGTTAGCTGAAAAGTTAAATTTGTGAAGAACAAGATTGAAACACATGAATTTGATCTATTTAAATCTTTTAATTTTTAAAGAAAAAAATAGATTTATAAATAATTCATGACTTAGAATAGATGTATTAGATTTATAGTTGAATGCTCATGGGCTTACTAATCTAGACTAATTAGCAAGAAATTTTTACGATTATCTCCTCTTTTTTCTGAAGATGTAATTATCAAGACACTAAAAACCTGTAATAAGCTATGAATTTCGTTTCACTTTAACACAAGGAGGAAGTGTTTGGAGAAAATATTCTTTTGAATTTTTCAGAATGTTTCAACATTGGTAACGAGAGATCGCATATAAATTCAAAGATTTCAAAAATAATACAAATTTTTGAAAAAAATTATTATCGTTTTGAATATCCAATGGAAGAATATAAGTTTCTGATGGTGATTTTTTTCAACTCAAGAAAATTTGTTTTCATTTTAGCTTAATATGAATTTGATTCTGCTTGAAACTAAAGACTATAAGACGATAATATGAAAAAATACAGTTTTTTCCCCAGATTTTGTGATGTCTTATTTCAAATACATATTTTGAAATTTCAAAATTTTAAAGTTTTAATAATTTTTATACATATATTACCAATATTTGAATTAATAGATAAAAATTTAGTTTTTTTTAATAATTTCCATTCTGAATTGATCAAATCATCAACACATTTTAAAACCTAATTAATTCACAATAAAGTTCTGTTTTGATTTATGTTAGAATGGCGTGTTTGATGAAATAAAAAAAACGTTATTATATTGTGAGACAACTTTCTATTGTGATTATATGAAGTTTAAAAATTTTCCATTTTAATTTAAATTTGAACTGAAAAATTTATTTTTATGATGTGGATTTGTATCAATTTTGATTTTTTTTTTTTGCTTTTGAAAGTTAAAAATGTATTCTAATTCATATGTATTTCAAAATGAAAGAAATTTTTTTGTGATATTGATAAATTTTTTAGTAATATTATCAGCCTTCGGAATAATATCAAAACCATAGATATAAAAATCTTCAAAATTTAGGCTTGATTATTTGATAGAACTTGAAATAAATGAAATGCAAGGGAAATCAAGATATAATTTACTCTTTATGTTAAATGGAATAAATTTCTTAATCTTCTTGAAAAGTTATTATTTGCAAGAAAAAAGTTACCCCTTATATTTTAAATATACAGTAATGTATGTTTATTATATAAGGGGTAACTTTATATATATATTTCAACTTCAAGATGAAAAAAAGAGAATACAGGCATGTGCTTTATATTTGGCTTAAGCAATTTTTTTTGGTAAAATAATGAGATAAATTGCGTAAAAAATATAAGATAGAAATCAATAATTAAAACATTGTAATCGTACATCACAGAAGAGCTAAATTTGATCGTAAAATATCTCTTAGACGGCACAAACTACGATTTTTCAATCAATTTAGAAAAATCAGCAAGGTAATATTAGTACATCATCATTCTAGAAAATGCGTTATAAAGATTAATTTAAAAAAATAAAGCTTAATCTCATAATATACACAATTTATATAATGTCTCAATCATAATATCATAATATACACAAAGTCAATACTACGGATATTAAATGAAAACTATAATACTCTTTCCACTTTTGAGACGTAAAAGTGAATGAATAAGCACGATTGTAGTGTTTCATGTCACTGAGAGGTTGCTGAGACATTTTTGGCCAATTTTATTTCCCAATTAAATTTAAATTGAGACAAGCAAAATGTATTGTACTCAAATCCACTAATGAAAGCTTCTGATGAGGATTTTAAACAACTAAAGAAGAAGTAATGTATTTTGAAACATGCAGCTATTCACAACATGAAGTAAAATAATCACTTTCTGTTCATGTTGTTTTATGTTTGATCAAATAAATTGTGCTTGTCACATTAAGATACATGTGATCAAATTGAAGTATAGCACATTACGTGATGTTTTTGGTTTTTTATTTGTGTATCATTCGCTTATTCTTCAATAGCTTGATGTTTTGATGCACGTACAAAGATTGACGTATTGCCTCAAGAACAAATCAAGAGCATTCTTTTGGGATGAGTTGCATCAATTGCTGAATCATTTTTATGGGGTAACTTTTAGACATAGGAGGGTCCACGTATTTAGTTCACGTGCATGGGGACTTGTGAATTCTTTGAAATATTTTCTCCTCTGATTAAAACACTTGAGGAACAAGCCACTCGGTCATAAGGTTTATGACAACATAGATTTTCATTGTGAAACACTTTGCCACATGGCACTAAATATATAAACAACTCTTCCTACAACCCACCGAATCCTGGTCAAATATGAGAGCATGAGAACCAAATAAATAAACTGTAGGATGTATTTTTCATATTCAACCAGCTAGAGTTTGTAAGACCTGGGAGCCTTGTTACAATCTCGAAGTGTATTTTTTCAATTCCTGTAAAGTTGTCTTATTCAACCCTTCTTGTTTCCACTTGCAAATCAAAATGAATGCACAAGGGTACAAGAATTACATATAAAGTCCATTCATAATTACTTTGGTATATCAAAGGGTTTTAATCAATTTATGATGCTTGACTTTTAGTTTTAGAAAAATCAACCATGCTTTCTTTTCATGATTAAGAGCATGCATACAGAGTTGGTAAATGTTTTTGTGTTTGTAAGATGATCACAAGATATATTACGTATATGAATGCACTAAAAAAATAACGCAACTTAGTTAGCTATGTACATTTATGACAGTACATAGCTCGCTGAGTTAAATTATTTTCAAATTTTCTTCCTTTGGTTTATTCCAATCGTAAAGCAGTTTAGTGAGCCTGCGTTGAACTTACAAATCAAATCTAGACCTACTATCGTGTGAAGCTGTCGTGGACATCCAGCGTGATCCATTTAATGATTCCGATCCGTCGATTCTACTTCGAACGATGCTTCACGGTCATGATGGTGAGTTGGACATGGCCGAAGACCGGAACCACGACGATGCGAGAGCATCGACAGAGGGCGAAATGGATGCAAGAGTGAATCAAGCTGCAGACTCGATGCTGTCCATGCAGGTTTAAATTTCTAAGAGTTACCACCACCACTGTATCGATCTGTTAGCAAAAGATAGACAGACCCTCGTTGATCTCATCAAGAATGTTATTGTACCACGGTCAAGTGGTACGTTGAGCTGGATTGAATGTACCCATATTGTACGTGGAGTTGCCTCCTTACAAGTTTGTTTCTCTTGATGCCATGATGGTAACTTCTTCACTGATGTCTGGAGCTTGTTCAGCTGGGTTCAATATACGTATCCAATGAAAGTAGTTGCTTCATGACAGCTTTGATGTTTTGAAGGCTTCGAGTCCAAGCTTGTTGGCTGATGTCTGCAGCTCGTAAACCTGTGTGGCAGCTCCAGTTGGCAGCAAGGCTGAACAACCATTTTCCTTCTGTCCACTACTCTCAAGAAGGATTTGAACAGTCTCCCTCAGCTGCGCAGCCAAAGAATTACGACTGTGAAGTCAGTGATACATCGGCCTTGTACTTACGAGGAGATAATTGTAGCAACAACGACTCTAACCACTTTTCAGAGCTGGATCAACTTGCTCAGAGGATGAACACAGGAGAAGGTGGTCTTCAGTATGTGCGGAATAGTATAGGGGAGAAATCCTCGCTCGGATTGTCTCATGGTCATTCGAGTCAAGACCATGGTGCTCAGTGCGTCAATCTGGACTCTGAGTTTTCCCAGAGAAACAAGGTTTACTCATCAAACCACACGTTGGCCAGTCATCAACAAATCATTCAAGAACCAGTGATCATCTACGAGTTTCCACAAGAACAGGAGAGGCCCGGACATCTATACATGATGAACACATACGGTTCAACTTGTGCAACTAATATTCCGTCGCAGGCGTCTAAAATGCACAATCAAGATTATCACAATATTGCAGTCCAGCATGATTTTGAGCAGGATCTCGCGCTCAACAGATTGACAGACTTGATCCAGCTCCAAGGGACTACATTCATGAAGGAATATCAACCACAACATGTACAAGCTCATCAAAGGCACTTGTCATTGTTCAACAATAACCCAAGCGAGATTCGAGGACGATCATGTCAAGGAGATCTTCAAGAGATAAACAGACAGAGTACTGGCGGTGAGATTGCCGCATGGGAGGGGATCAATAAGACCAATGAAGATATGTTTCATCAACAGGAGCAGTACGATCAACAACAAGCTTTCCTTAACTTTCTGAGATTTTCCAATGCCCCTCATGGAGGAAGCAAGTTTTCCCGACGTGACAGTGTGGATGGAAAGTCATTATACAGGAGAAGCAAGAGTCCTGAAGATGAACATGAGCTGCTAGAACTATTTGACGGGCGTTCCAGTGGATCTGTGACCGTCGCTGCAACTGCGGTTCTCCACAGCGAGGCCAGCGCTGTTAATGTAAGCGACACTGCTCGCTCCCTTCCTGATGCTTCAGAAGCTTGTTATCGTACACCGGCTCATATTGCTGAAAGTGAAGTAGAATTATCAAAGTTTACTGACTGAGAAACACTTCCTTCCGAGCTTGGTCATACCTTCTCCAAATCTATGACTTATTCTTGCAGCTGTCACCAAAAAAATACTGGAAATAATTCAGTCGTCTTGTCTAGAAGTAGAACCTCATTCTAACACCAAGGAAGCGTTTACATCTTGATGCCAAGCTGCTTCTAGTTCGGAGTTGGAGTTTAACTATAATACAACTGCCCCACGATCTTCTGTATTCTTTGATCAGCCAAGAACGAGCTACGATGATTGCGTTCAAATAAGATCGCTACCAGCAGTCGAGCCAAGAATGAAACAAGTCTTCAGAACAGAGAAACAGAGGAGAGACTTCATCAAAGAGAGGTATAAGACATTGCAGTCTTTGGTTCCCAGATACTCCAAGGTAAAGGCTGGAACCTCTTAAGTATGATTCTCACGTCTATAGTGATTTATGACATATACCAGTGCAATGATCATGGATGTATAAACGTAAATGTGGCTTAGATTTTGCCTTCTTCTGTTAACGAGGATATGTCTTGTTCTGCCTGATTCATTTAATGACTAGCACATATGCTTTTCTGTTCATTCTCTAGCCGTTGGTTTTTTCCCTTGATTCTCATTTCGGCCAATAGCTAATTAGCTTCTACAGGCAATCCATCTACTCAGCCAAGGCAACTGGGCTCCCAGTTTTTTTTAAACATCTAGGGGTTATCGGGTTCCTGGCTACAGTTTGTTTTTAATTGTTTCGGCTACAGTTCTGTTCTGTTTTATGCTAATTTATATCTTAGAATCTTGAGTGAGCCATAAAGATGTACAGCATCTGCAGTTGATTTCTAAGTTGAATGTCATTGATGCAGACTGATCGTGCTTCTATTGTGGGAGATACCATTAACTATATTCATGTACTACGAAAGCAAATCAGAGAGCTGACCCTGAAGAAAGAGAAGAGGCGAGAAAGAAAGATAATTGAGAGGAGCCAAACAACTGGGGAAGGTTGTGCAGAGTCTCACGACGAGAGACCAAGAAACTATGAAAGAGCCCTTTCAGAATTCCGGATCTCCGATGAAAATGAACTACGATTGGCATCTAAGCGTGGAGCAGCTATAAAGTTTCAGCTCACTGCTGATGAGCTGCATGTTAATATAGTGCAAAAACGTGAGCCGTATTTCCTCAATCGCTTTCTGGCTTCTCTTACTCGATTTGATCTGGTCAACTCTTCGGGTGGCATAATTGACAATCATCACATCCAGAGTTTCATTCTCAAGGTACGCTTCTTCGTTCTTCTTAATCTAGTTTTCACGGTTTAGAGTGTCTACCCCACACATTGTTGTGAATTAACTATCTTTATTTGTTTTCATGCAGATCAAGGGCAACTTACGACAAGTCTCCGTTAAGCTGATAAACAACATTATGGATACTTTAGATCAGATCTGAATTCTAGAATTTATACTTTGAATGCCCATTTTCGCTATTTATACATTATTTAATTATAGGTTTGGAATCTACGAACATGACAAATTCATATTTACTCTAAGCTCGTCTCAAGTTTTCCCGTAGATTCTACTTGTTTGTAATATTAGTTATTGAAATTTAGCGAGAGAAGAGCTCTGTATCCAAAACTCATGCTCGCTTTTCAATATTATTCAACGTCCTCTACGATTCATACTTCTGCAAAATTTTCCACCTTCAAGATTATTCTGTTCCGGAAGATTAGAACTCAGTTGTAGATAAGTCGTTAATTTTCGTACATCATCAGATTGCCGTGAGTGGCAGGACAGGTGGAGATATTTCAACTATCATCTGAAATACATAATTGATTGTGTGTAGCTTAACTATATCGATTCCACATACCTTTAGTATTTTGTTGGAATTGGAGTGTATCATGATTTGAAAAGTTAATATATTTTATAAATGTCCTAATCTGACAAGATTACTCGGAGAAAATTTCACAATTTCTCCATGGAAATTTGGTTTTATCCTCGAATGCAATCTCATTTTTAAATATCTTAAATCAATCACTCGACGTATATTCTTCATCAACCCTACTAAAACAATGTTAGGATTGTTCAGTTATCATCCGACCCTGAATAAAAAATATGCAAGATACGTTTAAATGATTTACAGCAGTAAATCTTTAGTAATCAAGTTTCTCTGGCGTACTTCACTTTTGTTCTAGACTGCTATTATCACGTTCAGCACCACTACTTAAGTTTGGTCTAGACTACTGATTTCACGATCAGCACCACTACGATGTACAGTTATGAGCATATGACATTATTCTTACACGTTCGAGATTTTAAAAAATTAGTTAATATGACTTCAAGCTGAGAAAAAATTCAAAATCCAAAATTGCGTAAAACATGCATATAGTTGCATGCGAATCCAAGTGGTACCTATCCGTAGGTGTACATCACGATTTGTTGAGAGTACATTCGATACATGCCAAAGAGACGTTGGTATCGTCTTTGGTATTGTCGTGACGGGTTTAGGTCTAGCTATGTCATCAAAAGCTATCTTTCACCTCTCAGTCTTGATGTTTCGATGTTTCTTTTTCTATTCTATGTTAGTAAAAATTATAATTACTTTGCACATTTAATGGTGGATTTGTGGGAAATATTTCGAAGTCTAGCTTGTAAGAGTGAGATCTATGTTGCAACAGCCAACTCCGTTAGTTTTGTCATCATTTCACTCAAAATATGCAAGTACAGTCAGGTACGGATATGTAATGCCGATATGCTGCTTTTTTATGTTCCAACTGGTTATGTTGAGTTCTATTGCGTCGAGGTTTTGAATGCTGATTGGTGTGGAGATACCCCTTATGCAGGAAATCTTTTGTCCTTTCGAGTGAAAAGTACATGTATAAGTTTCACATACTATCTCTAGTCTGATTGGACAAATAATCTATTAACTGATAGGCCATGTACAACTTCAGTCTTGAAACTTATAGTATACTCTTCCTCGCACTCACTGCGAAATCAGATTTATAAATGACGATAATTATTTTGCGGATTACTGAAGAGTCCGAGAGCCGCAGGTGTACCTCTTAAATAGCAAATCACTGTATATTAGGTTGGGACCTTAAGCAAAACCTGCTTGATTGAAGTAACAGCCCATTAATGCCATGATACTTTCTCCCCAGTTAGGATTTCTCTTGCGACACCTAATATATTCTGTCGAAGGAAAAGTACACAGTACATAGTCAGAGGTTTAAATTAGGGTCTTGCGATGGTGATGTACATACGGCCTTTAATCAATCGAGTAAATTTACGAGACCAATTTAAGCTTTTGTACTTGAAAATCTTGAGTCCGACTGTACCTCTGGATTTACCTGGTAATCAACACAAATTGTAACTTACATTCGCCAAAAGTTTCGAGAGGAATTCGGACAGACAGTAGGCCAGGTAAACAGATACAAATACATGTCTAACTCATGCAAACACCAAAGCTATATATTAAAAAAATATTGATAGGAGAAGCTTATCTTGTATGAACTAAGGAGCAACTGGCTTTCATGCATGATTTGGATGTCTTTCGTGATCATCTTATTTGGTCTCTTTAGCGTTGGTTTGTAAGCTTCAACTCATGCACGTCCAACGAAGATTTCATTAGTTATTCGGGATCATAATGTTTTACTACAAGTACGTGAGTAGCAGAAGAGAAAAGTCTTTTCCTGCTCTTAAGGACCTACCTTCCAAGGCCATTTCATCAGAACAAGAGAGCATTTTGCCATACTGGCTCGAATTTTTTCTTGCAATGAACCAATCGTGAAGTCACATCCACATTTCAACAATGTTACGCGTCCTAGATGGGAATTAAATTGGGCAATTATGTCTACGATTGTTCTTCCATTGAAAAAATTTGATAGTTTCAGGATTCAGTGTAAATATTAGTTAAATTATTAATATCGAGCACAAGATCGTCAATGAAGCTGCCGATGACGTCAGATTAAGCAACAATATGCCCGTAACGTTGAGAGGTTTTAAAACTAAATCTTTTCGAGCACGTTCTCCTCCACTGCCGTAAAAAATAATCTCATCTGATTAGTAATCTATTGTCATTTTGAGCATAAGATTTTTAATAAATGACTTGCAGTCACTGCATGTAATATCCTGTTTATCATTTGAGCACCACATGCCTGTTCAAAATTCCGTTATAAGCCGATTAATAGAAGTAAATCAATGATGATTTCATTTGGATTCAGGGGTATTGTTTGATCTATCACTTTTTATGGAAGAGGATTGTGCTCAAGCTTACAATTGTTGATGGTTCATCTGAATCGGGAAGAAATATGGATATCTGGTCTTAATCTTGTAAATCTTTCTACGTTCCATTAAGCAATTATCTTGAATTATGCAAGGTCTCTCCTCCCCATTTGTGTGAAATTATTTCACAAGTTCAATATTCTTTCAAAATCGACAGTTTCCACCAAGATAAGCCCATAGTCAAGACAGGGAGTTAGTGAATGGTCATTAGTTTTGAGCTTATACATATTTCAAGTTGCATGTAAAGCTTCTTGTGCTATCTTCAAGGCTCACCAAAGAAAATACTTGAAAACATCAAGATATCGTCAAGCACCAGTTTCGAACAGTGCTCAATTGTGTTTGTGACAGTCTAACAACAAGACGCCGTGAATTTACCTTTGAATCCTAACATGTCTAGAATCTATTGTCAATTATGTCTTAAATTCATGCACTCTCAGGTTGAGACAAACCACTTCTTAACATTATAATCAAACAACAACACCATATCATTCAAAATGAAAATCAAATATATTAATATGAGTTCGCAGAAAAAGATATGTACAACTTACCAACAGTTTTGGAGTGCATGATCCTGTATTTTCAATTCCTGTCAGCTCCTACGGTTATGTGCTTTTGCAATTAGGAATGGAAGAGTATACTAGGTCCTTAAAAAACTGCATCAAATATATCTAGGAGTTTTGTCATGATTCCTTCCATGAACTTGCACGAATGTCCTTGAATCTGGCAAAAAAATATTACATTTCTTAGTCAACAGATACACTGCTCCAGATACAAGCTACTCGAGCTCTTAACTTCTAAAACTTCAAGTATATATGCAGAATCTGCGCAGGATATGAAAAACTTGGTTTCCATTCCTCACTAAATCTGTCCACATTCTCTCGGATGTATATGAAGTACCTTAAGTCTGAATCTGTAAACATCACAATTGTGTATAACACCGCCACAGCAATCAAGGATTTCAAGCTTCAATCCTCCTTCTATCGCTGTGATGACTCGGATAAGAAATCGGGGCATATGTTTCTGGCTGATGTGGATATCCACCTCATCACAAACTATGCGAACTTCGATCTCCGTCCCATTTTTGGAAACCTTTCTGTTGCACAGTGCTTCCATAGACAAGCTTTGTACTTCTTTGACACCTGTTTCAGATTCCATCGTTCTCTGACGTTTTCCATTGGCTCTCATCTCAAGTCTCAACTGTCTCCGATGCTGCCTTTTCTGCTTTTCATCCAGCAAACTTTCTTCTTCTTTTTTCAGATCATGTATCATGTTGATAACATCTGAGAGAATGGAAACTCGATCAGCCTACAGACATACAACAAAGAATTAGGATCATTTCATTCAGTATGCACATGCATATGGTAGAAACGATCGTGAAGAAATAGAATGGGAACCATAAGATCCGTAGAAGAATACAAAGATTGTAGACGGACCTTTGTAGGGTTTGCAACCAAAGATCGCAGGGTCTGATACTTCTCATTCAAATCTTCCAGTTTTTTTTTCCAAGTGAGAAAATGGTTCAGTGGTTTTTGCTCAGCTTGGTTAGTTAGCGTTCCAGCAGCGCTTATGGCTCGACTTGATATCTCAGGGAGAAAAGGAGACGCTGTTGTCATCTGAGCAGCACTGACAACATCTTGAAGCTCCTCGTTATGACCATAATCCATTTGCAGTAGATCAACGTTGCGACCGAACTTGGTTGGAGGAAGATCTATCGTCGAGAAAAACCCAGGGCCACTAGCCGCAGGAGAGTTGTAATTGAAGAGATTGGAAAAAGATCTTGAGGTACCACCTGAAACAGTGTTGGAAATTTCGAACTCGGAAGATGGCCTTGGATATGCCACTGCAGGAGCTTGTATACCAGTACCACAGAAGGAGCTCAAATTTTTCCCACCGTCCATCAGCTGACAACTATGTACATTTTGCATCGGAACCTGCACTTCACAAGAACTCACTGACCCGGTAGCTCTTTTGAAAGTAGAAACACTTGAGTACACTGATCCAGCGCTCGAGGCAAATGCTAGCCGAGCAGAACATGAGGACTTATTGAATGTGAAGGATGCTGGAGAAGATTGAAGACATCCGCAAGCGACTTGTCTTTCAAAGCATGTTCTTCAAGGATCTTTTCCAGCTCAGAGAGTTTCGTAAAAGCTTGAATACCAGCGGAGAGTCCTCCCAAGTTCTCCAAGCCGAACACATCATAGCGGGAATGTTTTCAACTTGCCATAGTTGAGCACGAGGCTGTTGCTGAGCTTCTAATTCCTGCAGCTGCCTTGACTCTTCCATGTATTTCACACTTTCTTCCCAGGCAATCATAAATCCATGCCCAGCACTCTTCTGGTCATAACTATATCCTGGACAGTTGTTCGTCTGAGGGGATTGTTCATGAAAAGCGTCCTTGGGACCAGTTTCCGTCATGAGGTGATGCTGCTGATGTGGCTGCTGTTCCTGGCCTTGCTGCTGGTCGTCCTTGAGTTAGGACCGATGGATCATTCGAATCTCCTGCATCACGAGATGGTTATCGTTTTCGTGCAGTCTGTGCGGACAGTCCACTGGGAACGAAAGTCCCCCTGAAGGATGGTAATCGCTGCCGAAGGTCCGATCATCCGAGATCTCACGGTTGGCTTTAAGATTCTCTGATCCGTATCCATTAATGTTCGTCAATGGAATATACTCGAATGTAGACCCCACATCGCAGGATCGGGTAATTGTCTCCAGCGCATCGGAGAAGCAGAGTAGACGTGGACCACTGATCGCCTGCAACTCCGCCTGTATCTCCTGATATTCTTGATGGACGTAGTCGCCCATCTCAGACTGACCGAAATCTGCATCTCCGAAATTGAAGTATATTTTGCATGTGTCGCAGTGTGCCAGCGCACACCTGTCACGGAATTATATGTTAAACATGAATGGATCTAACATATCTTAGGTGGATATGATAGTATCCGGATCTTGACACAAATCTCGATTTGTTCATATTGCAGTTTTCATGAGATAAAGAGGAAGCCATTGGACTATACAAGCTATGTCTGACATAACCTTGTATCTGAATTTGCCGGTTTCAATTTGTTATGTTCAGTTTATTTATCAATTTGTTGGGAAAAGCACATCCATCAATCACACTGACAACACAAACATATACAACATAGACAGAGATATATCCAGCAAAACCACGTTCAAATATATCAAAACCAAAAACACAGGTACAGAATTCAAAGCTCAAGGTCCGAGAACGTCAACAGGAATTTTGTCCTAGAAGTTAGTAGACCTGACCTTTGTCTTCGAAATTTGTCAAGCCTATGTTGGTCTGTTTGCTGACTTGGCCCCAATTTACGGGCAAAAACCTAGTCCCCCGGGACGGTTTCAGTCTTAAGAAAACTTTCGAAGCTTTAATTAGAGCACTCGGATATTGATTGTGTTTCAGATTTTTATTTATTCTAAGAATCAAAAGAGCTTTTCATGTTGTAATTTATAGTTTTGATATTTATTATAGAGTGAGATGAAAACCTACTGATAATCATAGTATTTTTTGTCCATCCAAAACCGCTATGAAACAAATCAACAGCGAAATTTTTCTATTGCGTATCAGAACTCAAACCTCACCAATACTTTCCTCCAATAATATACTCTACTTCACCTTTCTCCTCGAACTGCTTTCCTCCATCAACTAGTAATCTCCGTTCTCTCTCAAACTCAATAATCCCCGATGTTAAGATATGATTGTGGATTTGGTGTGAATTTAGGAGCAAAAACCCTATATATAGTATTTCCCTATAGTATTTCCGGGCGCTTTTGTCTTATCAAAAAGTACGAAATTTGGATCATTCTAAAATATTGATGTCGATAAACTTAATTTACTCTACCCTCCTCGTCTCATTGCCTAGTAGAATGAACTAAATTTAATTTACCCTCGTCGTCTCCTTGGCATGGGCGTGATATTGGCTGAAAAATAAAGTTTTATCTGGGTTTTCTAGAGCTCATATAAACTGACGTTTCTAATGTTCAAATTTTCTGCTCTCCTCTGAATTTTTGACCCTGACGATGGTATATTTTGAAGGTTTAGATTCTCCATATACTTTGCACATTTTGCGATAGAGACTTATGGAATTTCATCTTTGCTTTGGTTGCTGATGTAGCAGGTGCTGGTCGTAAGATGGAACAAAGTAACCTGGTGAATTTTAAAGAGTGTGCATCTAGTGCCTAGTGATTTTAATGACCGACTCGCAACATTCAGTTTTCACTTCCAGTTGATAATGAGCTAAACTTATTTAAACCTAGAGCGTCTAAGTGCTGATGTACATGCAAAGCGTCATACAATTACTTGACGAATATGCCGTTCTTGCCTGAAAGCAGATTTAGATCCCTTTCAATTGTGCATGTGTCACATCCAGGCGGGGCACCCAGCTTTCACGAAATCGTAATTTGAGCATGATAGGATCTAACATATCTTAGACGGATATAAAAGTATCTGTCCAGGATACTGCAGTCTCAACAAATCTCAGTTTTTTCAGATTGCAGTTCTCATAATATAGAGAGTAAATCATCTTACCATAGAAGCCATATCTGAAAAAGCCTATCTAAATTTGCCGGTTTGAAATCGGTATCTTCAAATTAAATATCAAGTCACTGAAAAAAGTGCATTACATCAATCGCACTGACAACATGAACGTATAGAACATAGACAGACTTCGCTTGCCATTCATATTAGATTTGGACTAGTATTACTAAAAAACGGAGTAAGCAATCCAGGTTCTGCCTCAAGGTTCGATCACCCATTCATCACTTTGAGAGGAAACTGGAAAATTTTATCCAGTGTCAATCTCCAGTCTCTGCGGGCTCCATATAAAAATCGTAGAAGTTAAAGACGTTCTTCCCGAGAAACACAGATGGAAGGCAAGGATCTTGGGGAAGAATGATTTGCTTAAAGAATTATCGTCTGCAACCTCCGTTTCTTCTCGCCTGTCTTGCTACGTGGATTGTCCAGAACCTGATGATTTGGCAAAATTGACAACAATCAAGCTCGAAAGATTCAATGTGGATATCAGATGAATTGTGAATAAGATCTTATACCAACGATTTCATTTAAGTTATTTCCAATAGTTTAGGGTTTTACAATCTAACATAAGCTCGAAGAAATCGAATTTTGAACCGAAAATTAAAAAAATTTAGCTAGAAACTCACATCTTCAGTGAGATCGATGAAGATTTTCTCACTAGGAGCTTTCTCAGAAAGGTTGATAATCTCATGACCTCCCTTCCCAATGAATATGTTTGACTTCACCCTTTGTACTATCCTTGGCCTTTTGCAGGCTTCAACATAACGCCACAACTGCAGCACGAGATCAGTGTCGAGCTCATTAATATCAAACCATATCTCGTCATTGCTTCTGAATCGCACAGGATCGTACTCCTTCAGAATTTCAACCATGCCTGTCAGGTCTTCCCTTCGCAGTTTTCGAATTCTTCGTCTCAAAAGTTTCATCTTTGCAAAACTGAGCCTACGATTTGGAGTAACCTCCTTCAGCTGTTCGTGAATCTCAACACTCTTGGCTGAAACAATATTGTGAATCCCCTGTGAGTCCAGTCCGTCTACCCCACCTACATTCAGGTTGTCGTCCATGACAATGCTTCGATCACTCCAGTCTGTGTTCATGGACGACATCGAATAGCTCACTGGTGCTTGATCATTAGTCTCAAATTGACTAAACAAACAGCAATTACATTCCACTTTGGGTGAAAATCTCGCTCATCGCAATTCACTAAAATGGAAGCAACAAGAAGACAGCTTTACCAATCAAAGCTGAATTGAATTTTCTACTTGGAATCAGAAAGCTAGCGCAACACGCGACGAAATTTTGGGGAACAGACAGCTCGCGCACGTTTGCATGCACAGGAGGGACATTCAAACCAGCAAAGGGCGACAGTTCTCGAGCTAACGAAGCAATTTAGAACTTTACCTAGAAACTACGCTGGTCATTTCCCAGCGAGAGCATCCACTGAATTATTTGTAAAGCAGATCCTGACATACCAACTGGAAAGTTTGGTTCAACTTGGGTGTATGATAGCTCGAGCTAAACCTACCGTACAAACTGAGACAGCAGCCTTCATTTAAGACTGAAGGAGGTATTATTATGGCAGATATAGTTATGAATTTTTGAACAGAGATCATCAAGCTCAAATATTTCCGTACAAAAAATTCAGTTAACTTTAATGTTTGTGTAAACAGTATACAAAAGAAACTGCAAAGATTTGCAGAATACTCTGCATTTCCATTTTGCTCAAGAACTCGGCTACCTGGTTAGTCCTGGCAGTAGTCGAAGATGTTAGTCTCAAAGAGGGCAGTCAGTCCTCTCCAAGCTTAGGCTCAAGTGTGTAGCTATAGAGTGTGGGGGGCACATCTCTCAAACGTTCGGCCAGCATTCAATAGTTCTCTCTAAACTGCTCTAAGTCCTTATGAGTCCTCTCTAAACATTATCCATTTTAATCTACGAATCGAGCATTTGAAATTTTAAGATTGCAAAACTGATTTGCTGTTCATGAAAAACTTATGTCGAAACTACTTAAAGATGTGTATTCAATTTGCGGATGTTTAACTTTATATTTCGGATGTCTTTTATATTCTATACAACCGACATTAAGCTTATTCTTTATAGTGATTCATATACTTATTCAACAATGCAAGAGATAATTTGTCATGGAAGGTGTCTCTGCGTATTGAAATCTATCAGCATCTACGCTATTCACCAGCATAGATCATTTACAACAATAGATGTTGAATATAACAATTAGAATGAAGATGGGACGTGTAAGTGATGTTACGATAGATGTTGAATGCAAATTCAATTGCATTATGACGTGGAGGCTTGAAGTTATTGTGAAATCCAAAACTACCAGCCTTTGAGGAATTCGTAATTTTCTGTTACTTTTAGCTTCCGGCTGTACCAAGTTATATCCCAGCACATGCTGGGATGTGATGTAATGTGTTCAAGCTGATGATGTGGAACATTTTCCAGATGGTGTTTCGGCCAGGCACGGCAACGTTTGATAGGGACATGAGACCTTGAGCGAGGCACTACGTGCGACATCATTATATCATACCAATAATGATATACTCTTCCTGAAGGTTGTTAGTTGCGCTAAGTTTATCGCACTTCGATGGGAGCTGCCCAGAATGGGAACCTTGAGGGTGTTGAAATTCGTGAACGTGCAGTAATAGAATACGGAGATAACGATTCACAAAAAGTATGCCTCGCTCCTCTTCCGGCCTTTCTCTGTACAGGAAAACAAAATCACGGCGAGGGCAATATAACTGAGAATAAAACACTGTAGAATTTCGCCGTCCGTGATAGTCGCACATATTTTTACTATAGACCTGGAAGGTTCGTAGAATCTGGGCAATCTTGAATCACTTTTCGGCGGGCTGGTAAATATTGTACTAATAGAAACATTATTGAATTCTACATTTGAACTCCATTCAGTGAGATTGGAAGTTCATCAATACTTTGTACGAGCTACACGTCTCAATTTATGTACTATGATAGCAAGATTTCTAACATAACATTCAGATTAAAATAAACAAGTGTTCTTTGTCATATTATTTCAACAGATTATTCTCTACACATTAATCTAGGATTGCAAACATCTTCAAAACTTGAGCTGACACTGGAGTTGACCTAAATTCTTCTAATAGAATAAGATATGCATGGAAACACATTACATTATCAATCTACACTTGTAAAAATAAATCGAAGATTTACAAACTAAACGTGAAATCACTAGGTTTTTCAAGTTTGAGAGTCGTATTTAATGAATATCAGAAGTCGCTAGTTTCATGAAAATCATCATTAAGTCTGAATAATTCTAGACTTACAACAATAGCTCTAATAATCTACTTTCTAACTTTTATAACAAAGTGAAACTGGAGAATTCATCCAAGCAAGTTAAACACTGTTGAAAAATTAAATTGAAAATATGTCTAAAATATGTACAGCACTACATTAAAGATAAATTCAAACCCATATTCTGCAACAATAGTATCAACACCAGGGAGATTTTAACCCATGTTCTCAAATTGAAGATTGAGCAGTGATTCATGTATCCGACTTGCTATCACCTTTGCATTCACTCTCATTGAGATCTGCAGAAGAAGAGCATTTTTTAATCAAAATCTTAACAAAGTGCCTAATTCCATAAGCATATTACAAAAGTAAAGCAAAACTAATGGCAAGAAACTTGAAGAGTACTCCAAATGATAAAATTGTTCAAGTTGTCATAATTTGATAGCCTGGTTAGTCTAGACTAGCAAGTTTGGTGAGCTAACATGCACGACATGTTTTTCAATGAGAAAAGAAGAGTTATACCTCTGCTTGAAGTTTGTAAAGTGCCTGGTTTCCATCTGTGGAGATACTGAGATGAGATAGAATGAGCTGAAGATCCTGGAAGACCTCCAGTAATAAAATCACCTGATTTTTTCGTTTCCTCAAGGTGTAAATTGTAACAGAAACATCATTTTGCGTAATCTGCACCTCAACTTCTCCAGCCGATGATTTCAAATTGGCATGCAGCTGACCGTATAGTCCGCTTTCCACGTCTATCCATGGGACATCTGCACTCGTGCTCTGAATGGTGGATATAGGGCTTTCGTGAGAGTGGGATTCTGCGACGAGGCTGCTATTGCAGGGGGAGACCGAAAGCGATGCTTGATTCTTTTGATCTTGCAGTCGTTTCACCAAGTGTTCCAAGTCTCTCACCAGATTGACAGCTGCAGCAAGAATTGTTGCTTGGTCAAGCTGCTGGACACAAACCAATCTATACCTCGATGAGTATGACTCAACCTTAGAGGGGCAAGGTCGATTTCCGACCATCTGAAATCCATCAACCACTTGAAATCGCTACAGGTATAAGGATTGAATCGTCTCAAAAGCATGTTGAGCAATGTATCACCTTAGTTTGGAAAACGTCATTAATTCCAAAGTTATTGCCTTGAAGCTTTCTATCATCTACCTGAAACATATATAACGAGGCGCATGACAATATGGTAGAGTACAACATGAGTCGAAATTCTAAAGGCCGGTATTATTGAGCTGAAAGCACTTACCCTGGGTATATACGAAGAAGGTATAATGTCTTTCAATGCAGAAAAATGTTCATTCATTTGTTTTCGACGCAGCCTTTCAGCGACAATGTGGGCGTTCCGATGAGCCAGCCGGTAGCTTTTATTCGCTTCTTTTTTGTTGTAAGATGACGTTTTTGACTTCTTACTCACTCCTTTGACATCCCCACAAGCTTGATTCTTCTGCTTTCTTTTCTTCACCTGAGAGGAGGGTGCGAATACGTCTCCAGCGGTTCCAACAACTTCTACGGCCTGTTTCTCGTCTTCTGTACCCAATGCGGACACGGCGGGAGTTCCACGTCCACTATTTGCTGCTTGATTTTGAGAGGCTATAATTTCAGTCGACCCAGAATCCCCGTCTTCTTGTTCTGAATAAATCTGTTCAATGAAATGGACTAAATCATCAGCTGATGTCCCGTCCATGTCCAAAGCTGCGCCCTGATCATCGCAAGGAGGTTGGTTTCCAAGATTCCCTTCTTGCGCTTGTGAAGGTTTTGCGGAGTCATCTGAAGATTTCTGAGCAGTAGGATTCAAATGAGAGTTTCGGTCGCCTTGGGACTTCTCGAAAAACTCATCGTCCATAGTAAGCTTATTGCAGCTGACTTCTCGAGAGAGCATGGGATTACAGATTCCACTCTCATGTTTACCAGTCACTCCGTTCTGTTGTTTGCTGCAATCCATGAATTGCATAAGACTTGCAATGTGACTGCCGCCTTCAGGACATGAGAGAAATTCTTCAATGTCACGGGGAAGCTCATGATCTTCCGAGATCCTGAACTTGACGTCTTCAGTGTCATCTGAATTCAACTTGATGGAGATGGCATTCAGCTTTTTCTTCGGAAAAATCTGGTACATGCAGAAAGGTTCACAATATAAGTCATTTGTATCTCAAACAATATCTGATGCCCACGGCCATCGTAGTATGTCATGTTCGAGCATTTTTTCCACTTTCTGGCACTTGAATTCTAACATATAGTAGTGGACCACGGCTTCATGGAAATACTGTCTTCGCTTTCATTGCGTTTTCACTGTACATGTCTGCAGCTATGTCTGAAGCGGTATGTTTCCTGATATCCTAAGGCCATAGATACCTCTACTGGAGACTATGCTTCACATTGTTAAACTAAGAATCTAGCTTCTTGTAAATTTTCAAAATTTAAGGTACAAGAGGAAAGCGTACCGATTGTAGCAAACCATCGTCCAGAACAACACCGTCCATCCGAAGCGATTGGACCAGTATCTTACTGCATGACTTGAACTTCAGGGGGGCAGATTAAGATACTCTTATCACCGACATTCACATTGTACCTCATGCATTATCGAGGAGCGAATTTTCGAAACTACACCTGTGAACATCGTTGTAAATGGTGAAGATGAGAAGAATGTACACAGATTCAGTATGAGAATATTGGACTCATCCCGTCAGACCGCGCTTTCCATTGGTCATATGAACTAACGCATTCCACGAGCACAATGTTACAATATATGGGGCTGAGAATCATACCCTGTGAATGTTTAGATATGCTGTTCACAACTTACTACATGTTCTGACTGATGAGCATTTGGTGACTGAGCTAGAAGACTTCAACAAGTACAACGCTGGAATTCGAACGGGTGTTGATGAGCAGCAATTACTGAGATTCGGTTTCCATATTATTGCCCTCGACTTTACAGCAAGCTCACATTTTAGCATAAGGAGCTCTTTCCTTGGTCATATGGTCACAGATATCCCGCAGTCAGCAAGCAAAACTTGGTTCCAGATGAAACTTTGAAACTGAGGCTCTCTGCAGGCCTACTCTCACTCACACATAGCAAAATAAGCTCGAATCATTTCTCATCCAACAAGTTCCTGTAAGATTTCAATGTTCCATGGTAGTAATTTCTTGAAAATGAACTGAATAAGAGGGGGCATTACCTTTGCGAGCTTGAATCCCGAAGAGCTGCCGTGACGAGCACTATGCGAGGACTAGGAGACCAATTGACCTCCTAAGTAATATAAGAGTGGAATCAGTAGCTGATCGACCATTGTCTACTTCCTAGGAACTGGACGTGGCGCATGGCGCGGCAGCAGAATTGCTCGACATTTCTACGAAACAAATGAAACTCTCTGTTCCCGCCCAGGTTTAATGCTTCCCCTGACATTAATGAAATAACCGAAATCTTGCAATGTCGTGTTGCATGGGCTTCAGATAATGGACATGTTCCATAAGGGTTTAGCCAGCCAAGAGATAAGAAAACTTAATAAATCTCGGCTGGCATTATACCTATAATAGTGGTTTTTTTCCTATGTCTGTATTTTACATAACCTTGCAACCTTGCAACTCTAGATAGACATGAAATTGTTCTTTAAACCTCAATGAAGAAAACATATCGTAAGTGAACATGTCTACATCACTATACATGATTCGTTGGTCCGACCTGATGATGACTGTGCGGAAGTAGTTGTATCTTGTCGAGCTCAAGATGATTGTGCAACAGAGGATATGAATTTTTGAGCTGTCTCTTACTATCTTACTTTACTATCCTCCGGTGATGTGATGGTATCTTCTATATGCTAAAATTCTTCAGAACCTATCAAAGGAGAAGTCAAAGTTGTCACTATTTGATTGTGTCGTATGTAAAGAATAAGGTGATGAATACGGTGAAAGTTCATATGCTGGAGAAATATCTAATCTCAATTTATGTGGTTCTGCAACATTGAGTTGAATACTATTCAGAACACCATGTCTGATTCGAATCATTAAATGATTATGAAGGCTTACTACGATATGAAATACATATTCCAGATCCATACTACGTAATCAGCCATGACCGTTCTGAAACTAATGTCAGAAAAATAAGATCAATGAATACAGTGATTTAAAGAAAAACGTGAGATGTAAATAACTTGTTAAAACGTTGGCATTTGGAGTATTTTGATGTCGATTATTTTTAACATGTAGGACTGATATTTTTTTCAAACTGAGGCACTTTTGATGTAAATACTATTCCTGAACGTAGTTTTCATTGCTTTGTTCTTCGAGACACTTTGCTTCAAATTTCTAGCGAGTGCATATATATAAATTGTATGGGGTCATTTTCTGATATATGGGATTGATTATTGAGCGATCTAGTGAACACATTTAATCTTTCCAGTGACTACTGATTTCTGTAGGAATAGCGTCTTAGATACTTGCTGATTAACAGTCGAGCTGGGGTCTATCGTTTAAATTCGGAGTGAGAGAAATGGAAATCCTCAAGTCTCATATCACATTACAGCATCAATCTATGTGACTTTTAACAACAAGTTAACATGTACTGAATTAGGGAGGAAAATCACATGAATATTCCGGTTTATATACTTTCTACAGTGTATCTTGCAATAATCAATCCTGAATCTTTACACTGGAAAATATTTGGACGAGGGGAATGACAGTAATGATAAAATCACCTATTGAAATATTTGATGTTGGATTCATAAAACAATCTTCCGAGGTCAAAGTACTGCGCCAAACTTCAGAATGAACTTGCTGTCCAAAAATACTGTAGAAATCAAGCGTAGCACACACGTTAGTCCTTTACTTGCGTGAATTCAGCAATAATAATACAGATGAGCACGTCATGATAAGGAAGTAAATAACACATGATCGTAAAATTTCTCAAATGAAACAAGCGAATAAAAGTGCTTTGAATCTTAAATCATATGGTAGCTGGAATTCTTGCTGACGCATAAAAAACGCAGTAAGTCTTTAGTTATTTCAGTCTTCTTAATTGATACGATGTCGACTTGAAAAGTCATAGAGAGAATGAAAACAAATAGTAGCAAAGCGTAACTCTTTTGAATGAATCTAACATAGATTATATACTTGCTTATTAAATAAAAAGCAGCTGAGTATTCAATTCACCCTTCATTGCATCTAAAGAAGGTATAGCTGTGACCTCGTAATTGTCTCGTCTGAAGAGAAAAGCTGAGTTTGGGGCTTAGATTAGGATTTATGAGGAACAAAGTTTCAGATCTTTTTTTGATCGTCAAATTGATGATCAAAATAGTGGCAAAGATGTGATTGCGTATGCAAAAGAGATCAATTAGCGGATAATTGCTGCAGCATTCCTTGACTTCAATGAGGAGATTCACCATCCATGACTATTCTACAATTCCAGGATAACCAATAACAGAGAAAATATACGTGCTGTGTTTTATCTTATTTATAGGTATCCACGTATAATGCTTCAATGCATCTTAGGGAATAAATCAACTTACTGTAAGTTCTAATTTTAGACCATAGACCCATCGTCTTATGATGTTTTCTACAAAGATAGTTATGATGTCATTCATGTAGGCGGATCCTAAGGGCAAATAAATTAAACAGTGACAGGCCCAAATCGAGGACTGACATGTTTGCAACTTGAGCTTTATGAAAGAAAATTTCTACGTCTCTGAGTCGTCAACATAGAATGATAAGATGGTCAGTGACCATACGTACCGTCAGTACATGCAGTGTCTTCGCTGTTCTAGCGGGAGTACAAAAATGACTCACGAGATAGTACAGTACGCCATAAACCATGAAGGACATCAGAAGGTACAACATCACAACATAAAATCATTACCGCACCACTTGCTCAAATTATCAGCTCAGATTACATCAAAGCTCAAATAGAAAAAGGTTCAGGATCTAGAGCTCTGATCAAATCTCCAAAGTGAGTCTTTTCCAAAAACGAAGGAGCCGAGCTGACGAAAACAAATTCTTGTATGGGAAAACACCTGAGAATGATTATTTCCCAGTGCTAAATCATATTTGGGGGCTGAAGTAAACTCTAAGAGTGACAAAGAGACACACAGGGCTCCTGAACAAGATTGCCAGGTCGTAGATTTGTCTTATGTTGGTCTGGTGATACGGTTTTACCGACTGAGAAAAAGGGGAAGGAAGAGTACAACAAAAAGAAGGGAGGCGATAAGAAGAGAGCTTCAAAGGAGAATGGGGCAGTCAATCAAGGACCTATGTACGAGCGCTAGTACAACAGGGATCGATAATGGGTCTGCATGTCGGTGCAACGTAACGTTTGAAGCAAGCGAAATGCAATGGCTCGCACACTTCGTAGAAGAAACGGTGACAAGACTGGCTTCGACCAGCACTTTGAAGGAGGTACATCTCTGTCGATGTCCCTGTGCGTCTCTGCGGAACTAGAGGGAGTCTGCCATTTCTACCTCCGCGTCGATGACGACAGTTGCAACTAGGAGAGCTGATCAGAGCAAACTGGAACAGACCATGCAGAGAATCTGTTGCTTTACGGTACAGACAAGTCGGTGTTCTGCCAGACAACGAACCACCTTCAGTAGGTTTGGGTAGATTGCGCATGGCATTGGCACTGATCTCGTTTAACGGCCCAGGTTTTTAATTGGTTTTACACGGCATGATTTTTTTCACCTGGCTTGCAATCGATAACGAAACAAGTCCTGGAGATCTAGTTGCGTACACGATGTAGGTTCCTTCGGTGAAAGAGAAACTTTGAGTGGACCTGTCTTCCTCTCCAGTTGGCTGGTCATCTCATGCTACCGCAGAAGGCCGACTTTCAAGGGCCGATGCAAAGTCCAACTATACGCTGGAATCGAAGGACGAGTGATGATCAGAACAAGACATCATCGTCATGAACGCCAGATGTGCAAATCTCTTGTCTTGACAATGAATGGAATAACTCTGCCAACCCCTCACTTTTCAACCACTGTTATTGCGGCGTCTGGATTGGAATATCCTCGTTGAAAGTATCCCGTCAATGGTCCAATTACCACATTGCAATCTGCGAACAGGATCTCTATCTCAAGTCGATGGGATTGCAAAAATATAACTTTTCTACGGTTTGAAGAGTGATGACCAATGTGTGGAGCACAAGTACGAGGTGTAGAGTACCCCTAATATATGATGGTAGGGTGGGATAGAAAAATCCCACTGTGGTCTGGAAAGCGTATTTTATTTCAATCTTGTAGTTGAGAGATATCGAACACGAAAGTTTTCAATGTTAAACTGAGGCTCAAAAGCTTCACTCTCTAGGAGCCGTCTATAAATTAGACCTCCGATAGAAAATATGGTCATATATCGTGGATTGGAGATCTTTTATTCAAATGCAATATCTTCCACCGGTGGTTTGCGTTGGGTTCTTCGTGTTGTACAATATGGTTGCCCCAGGGACACTTGAAAATTTATTCTAGAACCTTCCATATTCAGTGAAATACGTGTGATGTACAACCTTCACATTGGGTAAAGGATCGACTTACCACTAGTCAAGAATTTCGCGGGCATGCAGCTGAAACTTTTAAATAGTTGGCAAACTAATATTAAACACACTGAGCACGCATTTAGTGATATAAGTTCCACTCGTTGTGTTTATATTAGGGTCGACATTTACAACTAATAGTTTTATATTGGAAGTCGCCAACCATGAGCATGATGTACCTGACTTACAACCATTTGTCATGATGGAGAAATTACCTTTGCAAAGCGTGCGACGTTATATGAATGTCATTTCCCTCTGCAGATAACTGTCCACATCAAAGCACCGGATCGAGATGAAACTATAAGAGGAAATATATTGCTAGATATTAGTGCTTTCCAGTTGAAATAAAGAGGTGTAAGCCAAATTAAGCCTCCAAGAAACCACTGCGTACAATTTAAGCCTCAGGACCCACTTGATATTGCTTAACTTGATAATAGCATGATTTAGATGACATGAGCTTCAATCGTTTATTCCGGTTCATTTCTGACTCATTTTGACACTTTGTATCCACTCACTCATCAAGAGACCTTGTGATCGAACAATTAAACAAATATACATCAATGTAAAGATGACATGAAATCTATGATTTTTATGACATAGCAAAAGCCTATGTGACCAGTTTATAGGCATCTAAAGATTTGAATGCTTGACTTTTTATGGTTATGTGCATACAAGCAAACTCGATTGTTCTTAAGATTGTTCGTTGGAATAGTTTAGTTTTTCATCTAGACTAGGTTATTTGCTATCGTCAACTTGAAAGTAGAATAACTTATAATATTTGTTGATCATCTTTACTTCTTATAGTTTCTTTTTTACTGGTTTAAATCTCTCTGCAGTCTCCATGAAAAGTTTTCACTTTTATTTACTATCTTGGAACAACATCAAATCTGATTCGTATTTTGATGGTTGTATATGATGCATTATAATCTTAAAGTAACGTTCATGCTTCATCTAGCAAAGAGAGATATGAAAATACGGGTGTTCGGGTTACTGGCTTTGTGCTACAGAATAGATTATTTTGTTTCACACCTTGCATTCTAAGATCTTGCTAGTAAGCTCTATTCTTTATACTGATTCTTCGAGCTCAGAGCACTGACCTGCACCGTGAGTGAAGGAGGTACCAGATTTTTTCTGTTCAGGAAAGTCATGAGTGTTAATGGGTTGATCTGAATAAGTTGAAATTGGTATCTTTTTCTTAATGATACATTTTACAAGCACAAGAAGAGCTGAGCAAGTCACGAATTAATTTCTTGACCGTTCCGGGAGGCAATACACGCCACTTCAGACATGGTGGGTTATCACACTGAGCCTGCAAATGACCCAAACATAAGCAAGTATCATATGCAAAGTGAATAGCAGATGATAACGGATGATAAAGAAGAAAACATGTTCAGAAGGAGTGGTGAGCCAAACACATATTTGTATTTCCAAGATATAGTCCAAAATAAACTGAAAATATGAACAGTCGATTCAACCTCTTTCACCATATCTATTTAAAGAGCAGATAATCGCATACATCCTTAAAGGGCATACCCAATTTACATCCGGAACATCCTCTGCGTGGGATCCTGTTAACTGTGAGACGTCGATCGGCCTCAAATTTGACAAGATTCGCGTGCGGTATACCTTGAAGTATAAAGAAGCTTATATATCTTAAAGAGGGAGGCCTTTCGAGAAGGGAGAAATGACTACTCAAAATAATTTCACGTCAAACATTCATCCGTGACCCTGTTTTAATAACACCATTGGTATATTTTCAAAGGGTGGCTGATTTGATCAATCTAAGCAAACTAATTTCTACTTTCGTAGGAGGTAGGCTGGCCTTGAACGACAAATCCTGTTAGAGATTTTGCTCTATTCTCGTTGAAGCCTGTATTTGCCCGAAACGAGGATGCGTACCTAATATTTTAGAGCCAAAGGGTCAAGACTTAAGACTTGAATCCCCTCCCGATATGTCTAGACGTTTGCAGCTATCACATATGCATGACTCTCCACGGCGTCACGAATAGAGTGAAAGTTCTTTCGCGAGGATGAGAAAACAATGTCAAAATGTAAGTGTGTCACTGTGAGAGTTGTTAAGAATAGTTACATTTGTGAATGCGAACTCTTTAAGTTCGTCAGTTCATCTGAACACAGGCTGCACTAGTATGAACCACCAGTGACATGATGATGGCAAAGATCTTACTATCTGAATTCGCCCACTCTGAATATTCAACATCGATGTTTACGTGTTGAGCACAATTTCCTTGAAGATCATTAGAAGGCTAGTCGTAATAAAATCACAGCAATCCTCGACGATAATATACCGAGACAATTATATTAGATAGGCCTTCTTGGCAAAGCATAGGCTTAAATGTCGGTGATTGTTATACACTGAAAATTGGGAGCTTTAATAACTAGAATATTAGATGACAGGAAGTCTATTCTCAATCCAATCCTAAAATATATAGGTATCCTGTGAAAGTTTTATAATTCATCGAAAAGATCAGAAAATCGACAGTGCTCCCTCTACGAGCAAGACCCTGTTAAAGATGGTAATGGTAAAGACTCTGTAACCTTTCTAGTGAATTGTCCTACATGTACATGCAATAGCCATATGCAAGGCATCTACTTCTGTAGATTCAGGACACATTTATTGAGCATTCTTTTTAGTGGGGTGAGAAGTGGACCTATCGGAATCATCGACAAAGGCGAATCCTTTGAAATCCTTGAAAACCACTCCTGATGACAAATGAAGATATTTGACCCAAATTAACATCATGCTCTAAGAAATAGAAAGGATAAGAAAAGGAAACGTCTCAAGGATTATAGACTAACTGGTCATGTTCGTGTGTGCATCATTTTCAAGATGAGATGGCCGCCCTGATGAGCATCCTCTCTCCTAGTCAAAGTTCATCGTTGCGCAGTGGAACTATCTGACAAGCCAACTGGCTTCAAACATGTTAATGGAAAATTTTATATCCACAAAACCAGAAGGCTTATGATCGTGTATTCTTATAACAATGTCTGTTTCATTTGAGATGACCCACATATACTATATATGATACCCAAATAAATTATGAAGGTCCTAATAGCAGCACAGGTCCACAAATTATCGATATAAAACAAGAAAAATACGAGATGGCTTCACATCATCGAGCAGAATCCCCCTAGAGTCTGCCAAATTATTGTAATCGATTCTAGAACTCCACAACCAAAGCTCTTAAACCCTAATCCAATATCTGACCTGTGATGGGTCAACCTAGCAGGAATTTTCATGCTTTCCTTCCATCCCACTTTCCAACGGAGTAATATTCCTCTTTTCACGTCTGAAAAGTGACAGTGGAAGCAGTATCTGGGATTCCAGGAATTTTATGATCTTTCGACTCAGATCCACTTTCGCTATCTTCAAGGAACATCCATGTAAACAATTAAGTAATACAAATGAATAAATGAATATCACAGATCTAGGTCAAGACGGGGTAAATTAATACTTACAAGCTTTCTAAAAAGTCGAATTGATCGTATGCAGACGAACTCGCAACGATGAATTCTCCGATATCAGGCAAACCGCTCCAATTCGCTCTCTTCTCCCTTCACTCACTGAGAGAAGACGAAGTGAATGAACCAGACCCACGGTGTTTCCTCCTGTCGCTCTAATTCTTGTGTTTTGTACCTTCCCATCTCCTCGCCCGCCCTTTCTTCCGCCCTTCCCGCCCTTTCCGTTCTTTCTTTCCTTTTTGTCGTTTTGACAGAATCTCTCACGGAGTCCGTTTCAATCCGTCCCTTTGACTTGTGTTTCCTACTGAATTCCTCCCTTTCTTGCCTTCAGTGGGTCCTGGACAACTACAATCCATATATATAGCGTCCAACTTCTGTATGTGCCTACCGATTTTATTTGTGCTTATCCATGGATAACGTCACCCTTTTGGGAGACAGATAACAATCGAATATAAAATATATCGTTCAATGTCTTTAGGCATAAGGGTAGGAGACTTACTCCTTTAACTTTTTCATTTTAATTTAAAGTATTTGATGGTTTTTGTAAACATGGAATATTAAAGAGTAAAGAAATTAGATGTTATACATTAGCATGTTGACTTATTTACCCATCAAGAAGCGGTCCAAGCCGAAACTCATTGGAGTAACACATTATAACAAATGCTTTACTATATACTTTGATTTGCGATGTCAATCTGTATTCTTTTCTAGAGAAGTCTAAGAATGTGATGACACGAGTTGACCTAAAAGACTATTTATTTCACATTTAATGATCTTCAAGAATTTTAAAATCATAATAATAATTTAGATCAACATGAATGTATTTTCAGTGCAAGGCTGTTAACAAACCAAAAATTGTAGTGGTTTTATAATTTTTCAGTGTCAAAGCAACAGATTTAACTTTTGCAGAGCTAGCTGGAGAAATATACTAGATATCCCTTAACTTTTTATCAATATGTGCAAACTTAAATTCTAAATGAATATTTTTGACATTCAAAATCCACCTATTTGCATCGTCAATGATTGATATTTTTCTATAAAAAAATTATAATTTTTATGTTTATTTAATTTGTAATTTGTATATCATCAAAATATTTGAACCTTACATCTTGGTTCAAAAATTTTCATATTTATTTATGCAATAAAATATTTAATCAAATTCATAATTGTAGGCCATATTAGCTTTTATCTCAAAGAGTTGATGCTACTATGCATTAATGTCTAGCAATATCTTGAGATGTATATTTTGTGTATCAAACAATGCAACAACAAAATTATTGATTTACGATATTTTGTCATACTATGGCATGTTTCAATTTCAACAGCTATTTTTTTACTTGTGAAAAATAGACATATATAGTGCACAAGTTGCTTCACCTGTGCATAATATCATTGCTAATATACTAACTAAGAGAATATAATTTTTTTATATGAAAGCATGAATAACTTATTCATATATCAATCTCCTCACCTTTAATACTGTCTCATGTTCAATTTTATATGCTTAATTGATGCTAGAATCACGTTCAGCAAGTTTGCTTGTAAAGCAACATGTAAATCCTTGGTACAAGAGAAAATTCTGAAAGAATTCTAGAATAGGAATTAAATTTCAATGCTTATAATTATCTTGGTATTTTGGTACATAATGATACATTTTTATTATTTATCTGATTTCAAAAACATTTCTTTCATTTATTATTTTTGGAGGATATGATATTTGAGCGGTTTATTGTTATAAATTATGTATTTCCAAAAAATTAAAATTCTTTGATTTTATTAAGGGAAGAATGTCATAAAATTCCATGATAACTAATGTACTGTGATGTTCAATATGAAATTGATGTATATTATGATGCGATTTGTATATGCATAATATTTTTCTACATATACAAGTCTCTTCATAAAAAATACTAGAATGCTGGGATCACGGACCTTTTAGGAAGATATTCTATTCAAGAGTAGGGAGTGTTAGATATGTTGAACAAGACGATGCTTACCTCAAAGAGAAGCATGAAACATGATGGTACCAAGTTCTCAACTGCTAACTAACTTCTGATTAAAATTCAACTAGTGTAAATTGACGAATCACATCTTGTATAAGAAGTTTATAAGAAACAAAGTGGAACTTTACCACTTCATGATTGTTTGGATGTGAGACACGACATGTGTTACCTTTGACGTAGCAATTAAAGCCTATGGATGCTTTGAATGCACATGTTCACAAAGATTCTTGCTACCTAATTTTTTTTCATAACAGAGCTAGGTTAATCCGGTAGCTATAAGGTTTAAACCTCCTAAATGATCCTTCCCTTAAATTTAAAGACAGATCTTTACCATGCAGTTTTCTACCTAATCAGTTAACATATGTTTCGATTTCCAACATTGGAAAATGGCAGCTCGATCTTCTGAGAAATCACAATAGCATATTTTTCATCTGAATGCTCAATATATCTAAACCATCACTAGATTTCTCATTCAGCTACTGAAGTCAATCTTGTTAACCCATTGATTTGTCTCATTCTAACTCTTTTGTCAAATTATGTATGTCATCCTGAATCTATCAGATGTCCAGATGATGTTATTTCCACCAATTTCTTTATGAATCATCCAAAAATTTTATCTTACTTCAGGTCAATTTACAATTTGAAACACGGTAAAGCAAGATTCTGATCAAGCTAGATGAGCCGAAAATGATTTTTGATTGGTCCCTACCCAACAAGAAGAAAGATGGGGAAAACCAATAATTATATCCCATGGAGGAAAAAATTTCATGAAAATAATAAAATGGCTGCAAAACGATGAGACTTATTTCATTGGTCATGAGCCTGCTTGAAATCAAGAATCACAGGTCCACCTAGAGTTGTGAAGATGCGTCAAGAAACTAAATCTATTCTTTGAAAGGCAGACAGCAGTGCTGTTCCACTTTCCCGTGGCAAACGTCCTATCACTGTAAAGTGGGTCTACCAGTTTTATGCAGAACAAGACGGCAAGGCTCATTAATTAAACTCATGTCTCGATGCATGACTTTGAACAAAGGAAGCGCATTGGCCATGAGATAATCGCTAGGCGCTCTTTTCAAATGAAAAATTTATGTACTAGATTATTCATCATTTGCACAAACAAAAAATAAGGAATGGAAATTTACGTTTGGAATTTTGAATGGTTAAACTTGGCGTGTTTCAGTCGAAAGGAAACGAATATCTGTTTTGTGCTTCAAAAGAATATATATTTTTAAAAAGCCCCCAAGCTTTGTGTGAGAAGATTAATGGACTCTGAAGCAGCATGGTTCAAGCCAAAGGTCATGTAACCTCTACATACTACAACTGAAATTAAAAACATATTGAATGTATTGCAAAACAGGGATGATTACTTCCTGAAAGGACATCTTTACAATGCTCATGAAGAATTTGGAAGCCAAGTTTGGGACGTCGAATATAGGTGAAATCATCAACTATGATCTATAATGTTACTTTCATTACTTGAAGTCAACGGTATATGACCTAATACGACTTTCTGTTGAAATGCTTGAGGTTTCAAGATCAATGACGTGAAATCGTGAAGTTAGCACCTATGGCAAGAGGGCTGTAAGTTAATGAACACTTTATATGACGAGGATCTTAAAATTATACACTGCGGATCATTAACACTCGCCTCATTTGATATGGAGTTCTTTATTGTTACAAGAGCACGACAATTAAACCTCATCTGTGTGCAGTGAGGAGAATTTGCTTGTTCTTTGACTGCAGACAAATATAGGCATCCCACCAACGGTATCAAGCAAACGTGTTAGCTTGAACACCAGACTTTTTACCTTGGCATTCCTACGTGCAAAACAACTACGCTGTGATGTCATAATCTGTGCAACATCAAAATTGCAAACAGTTGGTATTACAGTACTTAGACAGATAAGTCTATCATTTTTATTTTTATTTTATTTATTTTGTCAAAAAAAAGAAGACGTACAAATGCAACTGAAGAAAATTTTGGTTTCTTGAATAATATTTTGGTCCTTCCTCAAACACATTCTGAACGGCTGCAAATTCCATACGGAGTCTCTTCACAACCACGTGAAGCCTTGCTCCAGTAACACACGTATACTCCGTAGGTAACCTTGATGTTTCACACGGATCAACTTAACGCCAAAGCCACAGAAGTTTTCAGACGGTACCATAGGCCTTGTTGACCCCTCATATTGTTACATTTCAATCGGTATCCTGGCAAAGAATGACAGATTTTACATGCAACAAGCGAGTTCTCCAATGTAAATAAATTACAGTTTACAAAGAAACAGTTTGATTAGTAATCATCATTTGAAATCTCACGCTAATCACTCTGAAGTGAAAGAAATATCCTTTATTTTCTGCAGGGTTTACTACTACCTTACTATCCAATAGCTCTACTCGTGTACTTCAAGATATGTATCAAATATTTAATTTACCTCTTTCAGTCGAAAAATACATTGCAGAAGACATTCTCTAATTTTTTAGAATAAAAGCTTGGGTGGAGAGGAGGTGCTGGATCTTAACCACACCAGATTCTATATCGAGGTGTATTTCACTATGCTATGATGATGCAAGCATTATGTATATTGTACTCAATAGGACAACGCGAAGACTAACATAGTGTCAAGTGATATAGCATAGATTACAATGTGACTGCTGTATGTATCCATGATCTTGATATCTCCTACTGGGTATTAGTTCAAATTGTTTATACTTTTGTTTTAATATGAGAAAATTGTGTTTAATTCGTTCCAACATTCTCTCACTTGTTTTTCATATCTCTCTAACAGAGGTATCTCTTCCCCTCAGATTAAAGTTATCAAGATCTATCATTTAATCTCATCACTGTCCTGCTTTGTTCAAAAAGGGATTAATCCTTATAAATAGACATCAACTGACGAGGATAAATGACGATCTACGTATGTGATGTAATGACCAAGTAAACATTAGGATAAGAAAAACGATGGAAAGACTCTACGATTGCATACATGATAAAGTATTGGTTTTTAAATTTAGCCAAAAATACTATAGTTGCAGTCTACTCTATTGATAATAAAACTTATCCAAAAGATTATTCTTTTGCCAAGTTCACAGCTATACACTCCAACGTCAGGTGATGTCACTCACGACTTTCATGTTCTCTTTTCAAAGAGATAATAAGGCTGCGAGTGAGAAAATAGACATGCAAAAGTGTAGCTGAGTTCAAAAGCAACACGAATATTATAAAGCAACACGAAGCAACACGAATAAGAATATGATCTACATGCAATAGATTTGTAATACTCCAGTAGAGTGAGTTCGTTGCATTGAAGACATCCACTACACTAATCTACTTGTACACATGAGTTAAATTTGAATATGCATATGAACTTTTTATGATCCATACATAGAGAACTTCAGCGATTGGCTTCGACGTTCTAAGGTAGTGGAGGCTGCTTTTGAACCTATAAATACCCCGCAAATTGTGATACTTAGCAAACTTGGGGACTTTTATCGGTCAACCCGGGTACTTTGGAGCTGTTTGTTTTTCTTTCAGACAAATATTGCACGAGAAATAGATTCCTACTAACAGCTGTTGGACAATCTTTACTCTGAACGTAACAGGTAAATGATCGTTTCGTTAGAGCAAGCTGACATGGAGAGGCTGAGGAAATTCGTCGTTTCTGTCCGATATCAGTTTCCAAGCACAAACGTAATATAGTACTAAGATCGTGCCTAAGATTGGCTGGAAAGAGCCGAATTTGCTGACTTAGCATGATCGACAAGTGGGAAATTCCGAGCATTCAGCGCATCGCACTGTATCAAGCTTCTGTTTGACGTAACTGAAGAACACGCCGATCATTTTCAGTGGGGCCGACGGAGATCAAGGCCGTGCCATGGATATCCACGGGACAGAGTTATCCTTTCGATGTAAGAATGATGAAGACCCTCTTTTCGCACGGTAATTTATTTCCTGTGGTACATGTGCCTTCTACGAAAGGCTGCATCCTTGCCCAAATGTTCCACCCTCGATAGAAACTCCAGTGCTTGCGCGTCCTCGCGGTGCAGATGGGAAGACCAGATCCACTAGAGGTCCAGCTCTGCTTTCTGTTCATGGCAATGAATGGTTAGGTGGGCTTCGCGATCAGGCCATTCTATTCGGACTGGACAAAGGCCTAAAAAAGCCTCAACAATACTGTATTATTCTAATGGCCGATGTTCATGACGACAGCCGGGCGTGTCTTGACCAGGATTCTGCTCTTTGACCGAATCAATGCAATGAACATAGAATTCTCACATTTCGATCGGCCTGCTATTTGTAGTAAAACAGGCAAGACCTGGCATGCTCCAGACTTGTCCAAATCCCATCATCTTGCATCCATCCGAGGAAGAATATCGAGCGGGTTCACCTTTTCCCGAGCGGGTGAATTCTCTTGAGCTAAGTTCCGGAGTCGGTAATTTCCGCGTTCCTGGTTGACTTGCTGACATCATGGGGGAGATTAGATCCATCTATTTGGTGGAGTTCCTTTCTTGACTTTCTTGTTATAGCTAGGCCTAGCGTTATCCACATCCGTTGCCGTTTGTGTACACATGTCCGTATCATATTGTACACTGCCGTATATGTCCAGGAAACCGAGTAGAAAGAGACTCCAGGTAAGAGAGAATACTTGATATTGCGATCACCGCGAAAGGTTCCCCACGTTGCATCCGTTCTAGGCTCGAAACTGGGGTAACTTTAAACATATACATATATATATGGTCTCTGTATACATACGGATACGATGCGTTCTCTCTTTTGAACGAGAGCCGAAATGAAAAGAGGTGGGCGTCGCGGAGCGGACCCACGGTTCATGAATCCGCACCGCAGCCACGTGGTAAGATACGGTCCTTCATGAGCCAGAAAGACCCGCAGTCACTGGGAAAGAGGTGAACCGCGAGGTGCGAACAAAGGGAGAGCATAAGAACATAAGAAAGGCCCTCATGCGCATCGTGGGGCACAAGGAGAAGAAAACCGGTCAGATGATCCATAACCTGCAGGAAAAGGTCAAGGGCACAGTCAAACCGACCCGGCCAGCCCACCAAGGCCGGGCGCTAGAAGACGAGAGGCGGTCACATGAAAAGAACAAGGCTGACCGGGATTCGGCGCCGATCGCGAAACGCAGAACGGTGATTTCCGATCATGTCAAAGGTTCATGAGAAGCGCAAGAGCGCGAGGGCTCTTCAGCTGCTCTTGCGGTTCTGCGTTCCGTACGTAGGCCCTATGGCTAGCGAGGCTAGCAGTAGGACGCGGACCCGCGGAGACGTGGACGAGACATGCGCGCGCAGAGCACGGCGACTCAAGTGGGCGGCGTGGGCCCCGCGAGGGGGAGGGAGATACGCAGAGGACCTGGGACGAGAATCCGAATCGGAGGACGACGGACGGGACGGGAATCTATGATCAGAGCGATGGGGCACTTGAATTATGCCGTGCCCCCGTGCAATCTACCTCGTTGAAATTACCAGCTATGAAACTGTTGGCAGTCAACAGGAGCCCCGGCAACTGGTGCTGGTACGTGTGCTCGAAGTGCCTGCCGCATCTTGCGCCAAGCCAGGCACAGACCTGGAGCGACAAATTCATGGCGTCGAACACACAAGGCTATGTGCAGCTGTGGCCCCGAGGACTCCAGACCGTCTTGTCACGACAGTTGGCTGTCTTCCTACGGGATGATCTGGGTATGCGCACTTATATGTCAACGGCAGTTCCCTGACAAGTTTAGGATTGTTGACATAGGAATCTGGATTCTCCCTCAGCTGGGAGACGTCCTTTGTGATGTCTATCGCCGAGGATAGACAGTCATAAGGGGGCCTCCAGTCGAAAGTCTAGTGCCGCCTCTCGGTCGCCTCGATCCAGATCGAATTGTATGGGCCATCTTACGAGGAAAAGGTCCAACGAGAGCAGGGTTCAATGGCATGCGGAGCTGATAAACCAAGCAGCGTCTGAACATTGAGCGCCATGTCCTCGGAAGAATATTCTAGATTTCGGAAATTGGGCCTCTGCAGGTTGCCATAGCAAACGGAGCGACTGCAGACAGTGCCCGCCTGTATGAAAAAAGGCGTCAGGATGTGCGACTCAGATTGTCTGAGCTAAGACACGCACCCCGAAGTACAATTCGACTGGCGTGGCTGAGTCTTACATGCGCTTCCATTCTCCCGGAGTATTTGACACAGAGACGTGAGATTTAAGCAGATAAATATGACGAAGAAAGCTAGGGCCTATTTTAGGGAGTGGACGATTTTCCTTCTGCTCGTGAGCACTTGGTGGGTTGACCCTGTTTCTGGAAGCACAAAAGGTAATTCAAGTCTCTCCTCGTAGTCAATTCCTTCCTTCTGTGTTCCTCGGCTAGCCGGTCCATGAATCTCCGCCAGCACTCGCTGAAGATCGTATTGGTTCCTCCATGTCGCCTTGATCGAGTGAAATTCGCAGTGCTTGCTGTGCTTGATGGGATGCCAGCGATCACGATATATATGAAGAAGGTGTTGTTCCCGTTCATGGCGCAGATTTCATCAGTCTCGATTGTGGGCTTGCGACGACAAGCGCGGTTGCGGCTGATCCGCAAGCACATGAAAAGACCGACCAAACCACAGGGATCCCCTGGCTTCCTGACAGTGTGAAGGCGTACAATTCGGAGGCGATGACCTTAGGAAATATCTCAGAAATAACTGTGACCAACAAGGACGTGGACAATGAGATGGCGATGTCAACGTTTCGGTATTTCCCTGTTGACTCGCCTTCTGCTCGGAAGAAGTACTGCTACGAGATGACAGTCCTGACGCAGAGAAGTTACCTCATCCGTGTAGGCTTTTACGTCGGGAGCTCGAATGGGGTTCTGGTCCCGCCGGTAGAATTTGACGTATCCATCAACAGCAACGTGGTGTATAAGTTGGATTTGAATGACTCAAACTCCCTAGCGAAGGACCAGCAGATTCTTCAGGAATTTATATGGCGAACAGACACATCTAATGTCCTCCACGTCTGCTTGATTCCGAGGACTGGTACAGCTTTCATCTCTTCTTTGGAACTACGCTTACTCGACGAGCAAACTTACAGTGACATATTTAACGGGGGTCCAGTTTATCTGCGAAAGGTGATGCGCTATGATTGTGGAAGCATGCCCACTGCTCCGAACATTAGGTACGGAATCTTATTACAAGATGTGTTGACAGGCCAAATTTCCTGCTTCTGCGTCAATTAGATGTTATTAGCAGTGAACTGTAACGTGAAGGCTGCCAACAAGTTTAACTCGATGGAAGTTGCTGCTCAGCAGCAACACGGTATTCTACCGATCAAAATTCGGCTTTTGAAATGTCTGTGAAATGTCCTTTAACTTTAAGCTATGCGCTATTATTTTCCACCCATTCAATCTCTCTGTTTGGTTCTCGATTTGCAAGTGGTGTGGTGGTGCGTGTTCTGACCTGAATCGGACTCCTGTTCTGCGTAGGTATGCCAATGATGTGTACGACCGTATATGGAGTTCTGGTCCTCCTGAAGGTATGAAGTCATACTCGAGGATCTCTACGGCGACGCAGTTCGCTTCAGAGGATACGAAGAACAAGCCGCCAGCTCCGGTAATGGAGTCCGCGTGTACCGATAGTAACGAAATCCGCATTTCCACCTCAGTTGCTAGATTTCACGCCTGTCTTTACTTTCAGGAAGTCAGCAACTCTGGCCCTGATCGGAGTCGGGTTGTGTCATTGAAAGACTCGCCCTCTATACCCGAGCAGTCAGTAACTGTGCTGAGGAACAACTTTACCCAGTTTTGCTATGACGGCAGAGACCTGATGAATTTGACCTTGACCAAAGCTGCTGGGTCGAGACGAGATCCTATTCTGAACGCTGCTGAGGTCTACGAAGTCACTGTGCTGAACGACTCAGCCATTGCACCAGATGATGGTTAGACTTTTCGATTCCTTGTAATACTCCTTTTATATCGCGTACTTGGACTTGAACCACTATTTGCAAGTGTTTCGACTAACTCGCTTTCCCATTCAAACACGATTCCAGCCTCTGTTATCGATGCCGTCAAGATCAGTTTGCCTCTAGCCGACTGGAGGGGCGATCCGTGCTATCCAGTTTCTTACGACTGGATTGTTTGTGACATGAACTCGAAAGTCATCACACTGTGAGAAATCCTCCTTGTACTCTTCTTAGTCATTTTCGCGTAGCCGACTAATTCGATAAGTGTGCCTGAACTTTCGACATTTTCATGTGAAATTCGGACTCGGCTTGACAAAATATGCATCAAGGTTGTAACTCTTTCCTATCTCAGATCTCAGACGGCGTTCAGAATCCTTCTGCGTGTGGAATCTTATTTCGCGATTTCAACAAAAAAATTTTCAATTGCGTACCTGAAATCCGCAATTCTTTGGTTACATTACGAAGCTCACACTTGGTTCTGTATACGTCATTGCAGAAATTTATCAGGACAGTTTTCATCTCAAAATATTCTATCTATTCCCTATGAAATTGGTTCATTGGACCAGCTGCAGGAGCTGTAAATGCCTACAACCTCTAAACCCGATCAATGTTTTGACCATTGTATTTTAAATCTAACTCTGATAACTCTGAACTTTCAATATCAGTAGAATGTTACAAGTCCATGGCTAAGAAATAAAAGTTTCCATTCGTCAACAAATGACTAAATTGAATCAAATGAATGGATTTTTGACCTCAGATATTTGGACCATAACAGTTTAGAGGGTCGCATTCCAGACAGTTTTTCGCGCCTGAACAAGCTGCAAGTGCTGTAAGTGTACGTTGCTGAAAGGTGCTTTTGAAGAAATTCTTATCATTTTTATTTTCACAGCACGATTTCATCATCCTTGTACTTTTCATATAACTTACAAAGCTTGGTTCTATCAATAATTGTAGGCTTGATCAATTGGATGTCCGTGTAATGTACGTTGTTTTTGTGTTGTTGGATGTCCGTGTAATTTTTGGTTCTAGTTCCATCATGAAATGCCTGGTTTATGCTTTTGCAGGCAGCTGAGCAATAACAATCTGCGGGGAGAACTGCCTGAGTTTCTTAGTTCCCTACCAGCCTTGAAGGAGTTGTAAGCATAATGACTTTGTCAAATCATGTCAATGTTTACGTGCCTGTTGTGTTCCGACTCTGGCTCTGACTGCAACTTTTAAGTGAAACTAATGACTGCTAGCATGACACAATTTACATCCTTGTGGCAGGAATCTTGACAATAACTTCTTCACTGGAGTAGTGCGAACGAGTCTTCTGAACAGTGGCATACATGTCTCGTGAGTTCAATGCGCTTTCATATTGCAAGATTATTATCGTTCATCGATATGTTATCACTCTCCAAATTTTAACTATCCAAACACCACCAGCTTTTGCAAGAGAGCCAAAAGTATTATGAAAGGAGTTTGAGATTGACCCATGATGAGAACCTTACCAAATTACGCTTGATCCAATGCACAGGTTTGCAAATAATCCAAGTTTGTGCGTGGAAGGTTCACAAAATTGCTCCACACCGAACCAGAAAAGTTCAAGTAAAACGCCCTATTGGATAGTTGGACTCGCTGCCGGTATTGGAGCATTGATATTAATCCTTGTCACGCTACTTCTCTGTTTCATTTGCCCGGGATGCTGCTTGTATAAGGCTAGGCGAAGAAGCTTAAGTAGGATGCATTCAAGCAGAGGAGATGTGCATCCCATACACGTAGGAGCTGGTTCAAGTGCTGGAAGACTTATCCCAAGCGTCGACAATGAAGCCTACACTAAAAAGTTGGAGCAGGACTTCTGGAATGCCGGTGAGATTCAACGAATCTTACACATCAGTTTATTGTATTTAATCAGTGGTCAGTGGCAAGGTTCTTTCTCAGTAACAGGACATTGAAGTCATATCATGCAGCCAAAATCTGAAGATTTTATGTTGACTTTTTTATTATGACTTTGACGTTTGACCAGTCTAATGATTAAGGAATGTATGTGGAAGATACTAACTCAAGAACGGGAGAATAGGGTATTATAGACGTAAATGCATGGACCATTCGTGTCTGTGCACTCGTTGTCCATGCTTGTTTTGACATTTCGTGCTGCAGGTTTACAACTTTCTTCGCTTCAAATTCCTCCTCCAAGCAAGGCGTCTTCAATACGCAAGGACCCGTCAACGCTGAGCAAGCAGTCTTCTCTACACATAACTCCTTCAATGTCAGCTTCGCAACCCAGCGCAAGCAGACGACGACATTCTGCTGATTTGCGTGGCATACCCATACCACTCGGCAGCGTAGCCCCATCGCCTCCTTCATCCTCCAAGGAAGAAGTCGTGACCATGTCTCCGGGATCATCCAAAAGCAAACAACGTGAATTTTCGGTCGCCACATCTGCACCAAGATCACCAAAATCTTCTCAAGATGATAACGTACAATTCAAAGTATACTCTGTTGAAGAGATTCAGCACATCACGAGGAACTATGAATCACTAATTGGAGAAGGACCTACGGGACAAGTATACCATGGTATGCTGTACGACCGAACGGACGTAGCTGTGAAAATTCAAGATGATCGGAGTCTGCACTCGACTGCATTCGTCAAGAAGGTATGCTTCGGACGGAGTACTAAAAGACGCCCATGATTGTAAATTGATGTGGGTTGTGAGGATGCCGATAAGTCTAGTCCTCTGTCCAGTACACCCATACCCAGTCAGCAATCGAATTACTAGAACTTATGAGATCGACTATGTGAGGCTCCATTCCAACACGGGCACACCGAATGCTTTATGATAGATGATCATGATCTGCGCAATATTGACGTCGCTTCTCAGATTTCAAGGGGGCGAGTGCATCCCGTGGATTTTCTCATCGTCCTGGCAACAACTGTTAAAGTGTAGAATTCTAACTTTCAGATTGTTAGCTATCGCTCTTGATACAGCTGCCTCTGCTGTATCTGTCCCATACTTATCATGCTTCTGGTTGTGCAGGTCAAAGCACTTGCGAAGATCGCACATAAAAACCTCGTGCCTGTCATGGGCTACTGCTCAGAAAATAACAAACGAATGGTTGTGTATCAGTTCCTCACGAATGGAACCCTTCAAGAAAAACTAAGAGGTGAGATTTTTAGTGTAATGTGGATGGTAAAATGGTTCTCAAGAGAGATAATAGAAGCTTAGGGCTTTCCTCGGATGAAGTAAAAGAAATGGTTGCACCCGTCAATAACATGCATGTCAAGAGGATCTGAGTCCAGAGGTCAATTCTGGTAACCTTATGTGATTTGTTCCTCACAGGTGAACGAGGAGTTACCAGAATCCTTGATTGGGCAACCAGGGTCAAGATTCTCTACGATGCTGCTCAAGGTACAACGGAGTCTAGTTTTATGATCACAAAGTTGACGTCATTTGACATTCTGGGAGTAGATTTTGGAAAATACACTATCAATAGCTTTCAATTAATCTGCAATGGCATGTGCAGGACTGGAGTGTCTCCATCATGATTGCGACACGCCGAAAGTTGACGGATCCGTGAAAACTAGCAGAAACAGCAGTAACACGAGTTTTTTAGATGACAGTCTTCTCGCCAAACTTGGTGAATATGGATTTTCGGACTCCGTTGTGATAGTCTCTGGGTCTACACTGGGCTATTTTGAAATATCAGTTGTGTAAGTCTCCATAATGATTAACCTGTGATGCCATGTGCAGGAATGGAATATCTTCACACTGAATTCAGACTGCCCAAAGCTCATGGAAACGTGAAAAGTAGTAATATTTTTTTAGATGAAAATTGTCTCGCCAAACTTGGTGATTATGGATTAGCGGATTCACCTGTTTCTACTCCGGGCTACATGGACCCAGCAGCCGAGTATGTCACCAGATCGACGACTCTGTACTTTACACAGAACAAAATAGAAATCAAATAGAAGAAAAAGAAAAAGATGCATTGATTACATGTCATGTTTATAGATATGTAGTCTTACTTTCCCATTTGTCGTTTGAACTCTCAGACTCTTGCAATGGTTTAATGTTAAGACGATGTTTTTCTGTTCTGTTTATGTTGTGGGCTTGCAGCTACTCAGATACTTCCAAGAGGATAAAGCTAGAGCAAGACGTGTTTAGCTTTGGAGTAGTCATGCTCGAGACAATCACCGGATTAGCACCAACACACATGACAACCCTGGAAGATCACAGTGAGAGAAGCCTTCTCAGCTCTGTAAGTACATCATCGTCACTTGCTAATGAGCTTTCAAATATTTATGCACTTTCCAGTTCGATCTGCTTTGCAAACGTAAGTGATGCGTCCGTAAACCTTTTCCGTTATCATGATTAAATCTGCTTGGAACACGAAAACGAAAGTTCATTTGGAAACAGTCTTTCCAAATATCCCCTGGTTCATGTCTAATTATTCCCCTACAAAGGTCCTGTCTTGAGTCTCGTCAATTTGACGTTCCTGAGTTTGTGTGTCTGGATCTCAGTCTTCGTCCTTTCTACTCAAGTTGGAAGTTGTAGTTGTAAAGTTATTTTAAATGAATGACCTGATCATGATCTGATCACCTGATGTTTGGTTGTAGTTTCGGATTGCCATAAAGACAGGCAATCTCGAAGACATGGTCGATCCTAAATTGAGAGCTACCGAGTCGGTGAACATGGAATCCGTCTGGTCGGTAGCCGGCATAGCTTTTTCTTGTCTGGAACCACGTTTGGAGAACAGACCACAAATGACTAGAGTCATAACACAGTTGCGAAAAGCCTTGGATGTATTAGAATGATGAATGTTCGGAGATTTTGTTCTTTCCTGATATATTAGACCATCATGTTTTAGACTTGTAACCTGATATTGATCATAGTTAGAAAAGGGATATTTCTTAGTATATTCTTCCGTTGCAGTGGATTGAATTCGTGTACAGCTGAAATTGTTTCAGAGCATGTTCTGGCTGTAGATATCAATAAGTTAACATTCGACATATCGAAAATTTGAAAGCTGACAATCAGCCAGGGGACAAATTTTGTTCAGAAAACTCTATCGTGTGCCTAGAAGCGTCCTTTCCTCTTGTAAAGGTTTGCAGTTAACTTGGAAACAGTCGTTCGCGGCCCAGCATCAAAATCTTTACCTATTTTCTCCCAATTCATTCGCATGTTCTGATGCACCGAGCGTATGATGATTTTTTAAGTGACTAAAGTAATTTTTAGTTAGAAATTCATAGTAGTTTCAGAAGTTGCATTTGCCTTGGATGTATTGGAATGATCAGGATATTATTTTGGAAAATATAATTATAAGGAGAGCTGTCACAGCACTCGAATCGAATCCAGATTATACATTCTTCCAAGTCATTTTAGATCTATAATTGACTTTCTTTAAATGTTTTGCAAATTGTTGGGCACAAACATAAACATCCCATTCACGAAGGCTTAATCGCACCCATTGAGGTGAAAAAGCAGAAACTACATGTTGAAAAAGTAGTAAGTTTGAACTCCTCAATCTGTTATGTGTTTTCTAGACTAAGTAAAATCCTATAAGTAACTCAATTTCAGTGAAACTTTATTTCACTATCTGCCATGTAAATCAATCTAGAAAATTATTTGATGGGACCATGGGTAATATACCTTCAGTAATGTTCTAATATCTTCAGCAATTCAGCTGATTTCTTGTTTGTTTGAACATATATTGTTCCAAGTTCCAATGTTCTTGTACATATTAGAATTGCCATGTCACCTTCGATAGAGAAGAGAGGTGATGATTACAGTGAATCAGTTTATTCCCGTGACACGGATTATAGCAAAGGGCTGATGGAATGCCAAACTTCTCAGTCATTTCCATTCAGACATGATAGACATGCATTCTTTTCTTGCGATGCAATGTGATAACTGGAATATATTTTTCACTCTACAATCACCATGTCCGAGGCCATGGTGATTGTAGCGTCGGTTTGCAGATGGTCACAATCATTCTCGGCCTTGGAGCGTCTGCGATTACGGTCCTCGTGAGCAAGTTCTAACTCGTGGAATAGCAGTTATTACTTATAATCTTGGCTATACGGTTTGGGTCAAAAAATCAACTTTGACTCGGTGTACTGTTTGCTAACTAGCACTTGTCTCATAAGACACTAACAAATAGACCTCACTGCGACTTTCGAAAAGCCACGCAACTTCATTGACAGGATATAGTTGAGATGTCCAAGAGATGCCACTCGGAATCCACGTGTTGACGAGAAACATAAGGATATGAACGAGCAATGCATAGAATTCTTAAAGGAATATAGTAAACGTCTAGCAATAAGGGATATGAAGATGTGTAGATATGAGTGTAGTGACTAGGTGCTTTTTTTGAACCAACAAAAAAAGTGTAACCAAGATAGGAAAGATGTTCGAGAAGTTGGTGTTGGGAAGCACATTGATAGCCTTGACTAGATAAAAATTTCTGCGAAGCTACATGGGTTTTTGCCCATGAGCTAATGGCTGCAACCATCCACCCAAAAATACTTCATCAAATTTTGCCTTATCGGACACATCTATGTATTTGCTCCATAAATAATAAAAAGTTCGTTTTGTACTAAAATCTCTTGTGTACTCAGTCTGTTGATGGATAAATCTAAAAGGAATATTGAATATACAAACAATGATTACCTAGAACCTTTGACGTTATCCTTTTCATATATGAAATCTATGTAATATTTGTCCAAAGTTGTTATTGTCATGATTATTAGTGTATAAAGGTCATTTGTCACTTATTCAGACATTAGTCATTTTTGAAGTTGAAATTTATGTTTAACAGATGTAATTGCCTACACGCGTAAACGGTTTTTAGAAAAGCCTTTTACCTCGTCCTCTAATTAAGGTTTCGACTGAACGAAATGAAGTATATAATTAGTATATGACTCTAGGGGAAGTAAGTACAAGGCTACAAAGTAAGTAAGGCTACAAAGTAAGTAAAATTAAATGTCCATCTATTCTTACATCTATATATTCTTTTATTTTAGATGGAACTACGCAATAAGTATCTCGACATAGCCGTGATTTGAATTTTATTGTGTTGATATAGAAAACAGTAGCACTTTCATTAAATCTGGATGGAAAATCTATATGAAATTGCCAAACCTTAGGTACTCTTGCAGTGATACATCACGTGATAGAATAATGTCATGGCATACACTTCTTCGATCGAATGTGGATTACAAGATGAGATGGTTAAGCTCGCTCTTGTTAAAGGAAGTCAATCAGTAAGAGTAAAAACATCATGTTACGGATAAAACATCGAAAGATGCATGCGTGAATAGTTATCTTGAGGGGACAGCGTCATTTGGAATCCTCGTGAAAATTTGTTGAGTGGAAGGTAACCTATCACTAACATGTGCGGAAATTGTTGTATGTCTTCATGTGTTGAAATTTGAGATACTGGTCTTAATTTCAAGATCAGGAATATGATGAAAATAAGAATATTAATTCATCCACATCGTTGCAAATAAAGATTAAGAGAAGATAAAGTATTGGACTCTCAAAACGTTTTTGAACAGTTTATAAATAGTTTTCCATGCACGCAGAATGTCGAGGGCATTTGGTCTAGTGGTATGATTCTTGCTTAGGGTGCAAGAGGTCCCGAGTTCAATTCTCGGAATGCCCCGCCAGTGCGGCCGAGATATACGTGAGCTCCAAGAACGAAGGACTAGTCTCTGAGTTACTCGGAACCCTCGTCTTCTGATGATTTCTTTGGGATTTGGGACACCCATTCGAGTGGTTCAAGGACAAATAAAACGACTGTGTTTTAATCATGTTCATATTTTATAGTTCTTTAGAAAATTACAAATTAATATTATATTCCTTCAGTCCGAAGTCGTACAGGGCATTTGGTCTAGTGGTATGATTCTCGCTTCGGGTGCGAGAGGTCCCGAGTTCGATTCTCGGAATGCCCCAACTGTGCTAACTAATCTGTTGTCTTTTCACATTAGGCTGCCTGAGATAAGACTTTCTACTTCTCTTCACGCTCCCATTCGTCTGACTGAGTTGACTGAGTACAGTCTTCGGGATTTATACATGCCAGCTTCAGAGACATAGAGAATGTGACGAGTAAAGACTAATATTCTCGCCCAATCCTATCCCCTTACTTTCATCGCTCCCTGCTTGAGTACTCGTTCCTTTGTTCTTCTTTAATCGCTAAGATGAGTTTATGCACTATCTGCTATCTGCCTGAGATGCCTTCGGCAGATTTCAATTGCCCAACTAAATCCAGTTGCGCTTAATCCTCATTCATATCTTGTTCGTGCTTGCTCACATATAATTCTGCGCATTTACTTCGCAATTGTATGAAAACGTTCAACACCCCAGTGAGTACATGAGGCGCGATCTCCTGGCTCTCTTGCTTTTTGACTTCTTGTCATCTTACTTCTAGCCTGCTTTCTTGACTGGAATCTAAGGAATAAGGCAGAGACCCGGGCAAATCAAATCTCGATGCAGTGGTTCGTCTTCAGTCCAGGTTTTGGCCCTTCGGTAGTTTCTTTACTAGCTAAGGCCGTCTTCAATGATGCGTGGCGACAAGCGTGAGCTCAGTTTCTCTCGGGTGTTCAGACTTTCCGGGGTTTTTGGAGCCTGTTGAAAAGCACAATGAGTAGATTTCCGGAGTACTGATTAAGTCGATAGATTCATAATACGATGAGAAGAATCATTGTATGTACATATGTGCAGGCCTTCCCATTTGCTTCCCTTTCTTACTACCACGTGTACTTCGTCCACAATACTTGTCTTGAACCCACCCTCAGAGTCCCTAACAGCGGCCCCGATGGAAGGATCACAGCATAAAATGCCTCAGATGCCTCGAGGACGAAATATGCCTCGAGAATGTGTATGTGATTTCATGGTTTCAAACATGAGAAGGAAAAGCGTCACGGCACCAAAACGGTTAGTTTGATGCGAAACTAAACCTTTTGAAGAAGTGCGTCACGGCCAAACGGAAAAAACATCACGCCACCTCTTCGGAATTGTTAATTTGATACGAAACTACAATAAGTGTTTTCTTCATCCTACAAGCTCTTCTGTCAAAAAAACCAGTTGAGGAAGTTCAACACTGGCCAGAAAAACTAATTACACCATAACTCCAAAAGTGCCAAACTCAACCCGACGACCAAGACAACTACAGCAGCCGTGAGGTGGCGGCGCTAAGTGGCTACATTCAACCAACGTAATTTCTAATGTACTGAGACAGGAGCGAGGAATGTACATGGAATCTTTGCAACATAATGGTATAGCAGCAATACAGAAGCGACGTAGTGAACTGTGATGATCAAACAAACCTTCGTAGAAACTCTGAACGCCATTGGAACTCCAAGAACCAGGTGGAAGTCACTCACTACAGAAATACTTCACAGCTGAATCTCGTCAATACTCTACTCAGACTCTAAAACACTTCGGGTGTGACCTGTAATCATACTTTCTAGACTCGTGAAGCAAATGTCGAGGTCTTTACACTGATCACCTGTCAGAACGAAACAGGGCATCCAACGAATTTCCATGGAATTCATAGAATCTTGAACGCGTAAGCCGTTATGAAGAAAATTATCGTACATGCAATCCTCTCTATACAAAGTTCTAAAGCTCCGAACCACTCGGACATAGCACATAGATCGTTCACTTCCGAACTGAGTGAAAAAACTGAGAACCAGTGCCAGAGCTTCGCAACTGCACACAAGTACTTCATACTTGGGGGGGCTGCCAGCCAGATGCTAAAACCTTACAGGGATCAGTGATCTCGAAACTACAGCAGTGGACGATATTTTCATCCACTGCCCACTGGATTAAATTAAACCGTGATGACTCAAATTCATCCTGTAATCATTGTACCGGCTCCTTCATCTGTCAAAATTTCCAACAGCAATGAATGCGGTTCTCTTCCATCGATAATGTGGGTTGCATGCACGCCCTGGGCGAGAGATCGCACACAACACTCCACTTTAGGGATCATGCCCCCTGAAATTATACCTTCCTCCACCAATCCCCGCACCTGCTTGATGGAAGCCTCCTTAATCAAGGTTTCGATGTCCTTGGGATCCCTCATAAGCCCAGGGACATCAGTCATTAAAATCAACTTTTCTGCTCCTAACGAAGCTGCGATTTCTCCCGCAGCCGTATCAGCATTGATATTATATGCTTCCCCGTTCACATCTGCTGCTACCGTTGCGATCACGGGAATTACGCCGCCATCGACGAGGGCCTGGACGACCCCAATGTTAACATTCGTAATTTCCCCCACAAACCCTAGGTCACCTCCATATTGCCTCGCGGTCAAGAGCTTTCCGTCCTTTCCACAAAGCCCGACGGCAGTTCCACCTGCACGATTGATCAGCGAGACGAGAGACTTGTTGACCTTGCCTACGAGCACCATCTCCACAACCTCCATCGTGGCGGCATCGGTAACTCTGACCCCATTTTTGAATTTGGGTTCGATGCCGAGCTTGGTGAGCCAGCTATTGATCTCCGGGCCACCACCGTGAACCAACACTGGCCGAAGACCGACGCAGGACAGCAGCACGAGATCCTTAATCACTCCATCTTTCAAAGAAGGATCCTTCATCGCAGCTCCGCCATATTTCACCACCACGATTTTGTTTTGAAATCTTTGAATAAACGGGAGTGCTTCCGCCAGGATATCAACCCTATCTTTCGCAGTGTAATGGCCGCTCCTGGAAATCACTTCATTCGCGACCGTTTGAGCTCTAACGCCGTCTTGCAGACGCCATCGTCGCTTCTCGAGCCCGCAAGCAGCAGGAGATTGCACAGCCAAACGTCCCAGCCCGCGGGTCGAGATCGAATGCGAAACTCTCTGTGCTGGGCAAAGTGGCAGAGTGCTGCAGGTGACGAGAATCGCCATGATAATAGTGCCGGTGACGACGAAATGAGGCCGGTCGGTCGTTCAGTCAGTCTTTCTCGTGCATGCGTAAGTGCCTCTGCACTCACGAGCTCGATCGCCGAAAGTGGCCTGTGCCTTGTCCTTCGGAAGAAGGAGGCATTTGACAGTCGGGACGGGGACGGAGGAACAGCAGCTCCTTGGTCCCATTGTGTTCATCGCCTCCTACAGGCAACGACGCCACGACTCCCTCCTCTGTTGGCCGAACATTACAAATAATCGTGTCGCTGTTGTGCTTGCTAGGACCATACCACCCATTAGTCTCTGAATCGAGAAAATCTGATACTGTATTCCTTCCAAGACATAACTACAGTCCTGAACCAACATTTAATGAGTGTTGGAATAAGCTCAAAGGACTATATTATAAGTAGGACTATAAATAAGAAGATTATGTATTGCTTCCTCAATCCAAATTACGAAGGCGTTGGCTCGAAACTCTTGCAATTGAAACGTACTTTCGGTATTTGGTATGAAGAACTACGTAGATAAAGAATGAAGAAGTTCATCGCAGAGTTGGAACTATGATAACTTGGAAACAACTGGGTATTCTCTATACGTAGTATGAAGTTTTTTATACGCTACGAGTACAGTTTTCAAAGAATCACATCCATCTCTTCACCCTGTTTCAGGTACAGAAGTGACGAGTGGGATGCCGAGATGAACAAGACTGTTGAGAGAGAATTTTAGAGAAATTGGTCCCTTGGAACCTTAGAATCAAATGGCCGATCAGAGGTGTCCCCATTCTCTGTGTAACATATATAAGATAGACCAAACACACATCTAAAAGTATTGTAACATATGTTCCGGCTAATCAATACAACCTAAATATGTATGGTTTTAGTGTGCTTAAAATAAACACACAAAATTTTTGTGTTTAACTCACAAAATGTCCCCGATTATCGTAATTGGAATGTCGCCCGCAACGCAGCCAAAAGCAAATCATTGGAACATATTCACCGTTGATCTACATGTATTTCTATCAGATTTCCACTTAATTTTCGAAATGTACATAATTTGGTCATATACATAAAAATATGTTTCCCAAATGATAAAAGTTTTACAGACTTGACGTAAAACGTTTTATCTCAAAAAATTTATCAATATACATCTGTACATTATCATGAGAAGATTGACGACTGTAATGAATTTGTGATGATGAAATTTCAGGACACCGATACATACATTTTTCCATTTAAAAAAAACAAAAAAGTCCAAATTACTGCTTCAGTATCTGGGAAGGGACGAAATGTACTGTTTGCTACAAGCACCATGACTTTATTAACATTGCATCTGATGGCTTTGACATTCACTTTTATCTAAACTTGTCACAAATGAACATGGAACATCTCCAGACTCCATATTCTCTTGTAAGGAGAAAAAAACCCCTTGCCACATCACCTTATCCAACATCACTCCACTTTACAGCTGTTACTATTTTAAAAATGAAATATAGAATGAACCCATAAGCAGAGAAGACAGAAAAAGAGCACTGGTACAATATATTCCTCGAGTTCGACTGTGAAACTTGCCTTAAACTAATGAGTAAGGAAAACAATGTACCCGGTCGATGCCGGGTGCCGCGCACAGTCTGCGCTTAGATTTTTGGAGGGAGATAGGCTGGTCTGGCGTTGACGCTGCCTACATTGCAGAACTCGCCTGTGCTGGCCTCCTCTTCACCAACTGAAATCAAACAGCATCCAAAATCTCATTTTGCCTACATGTCAGAACTCTTGCTGGCATAATCTTCATTAACTGAAATTGAACAGCACCCAAAATTACATGTAGGCTCGCCACGTAATCGGCGCCTCAACGTCTCAGATTTGAAAATTCCAAGAAAACAGAGGTCTGTCTGACAGAGGGACATCGATATGGACGAATATTCTACCAACCGAGGAATCTGAGCTTCTGGCGCGTGCCACTGGCAGCAGATTGACATCACCATTTCGACGTCGATGGCAGATAGAGGGCAATTTGACACGAGACCTCTCTCGTTATTGTTCGACCGATGTGACCGATGTGAAGCTCAGTCGGTGTTGAGTGTCAATTACCGCATGATTACAGGAGAGCCTCTCTTCGGCCTTCCCTGACTGTACCTTTGAGAGGACAGTTAGGGAAATTTGATTCATCTGACAACACGAGATCTGACTGCAGCAAGTATTCGACTTAACTGCGTCTTCATCGTGAAAAAAATTTGAGATTAGAATAGTGAAAGAATGTCGTCGGTACATTCGATCAACTCGAAAAGGGAATGGGGTTCCATCGTAGTAGAGGAAAATGAGGATCGGAGTCCCCGATCGATTCCAGGTCAGTAATCTTCTTCGTCGTCTCAAGGAGATTCATACGACAAAGACTGCGGGGTTGTTCGTTCTGGTGATCACGTGTGGACGCAGGTCCGGCGTTAGACGAGATCGCATTATGGTTTGGGTGTCGAGGCGTTCTTTCACAGCCCGCTGTTCTTGATGGTGTGTACGCAGAGGAAAACCTTGAATGACATTGGACTATCGGACAACCAGGACTTGCCATGAGGCGGTCCCCTTGCCAGGGTTCGTACAACTTCGGGTCATGTGGTTTGTCGAGGTCACGCTACAGAAGCCTGGATGCTGCAGTACAACATGAATCGTTGTAGGAGGTAGGCGATAGGCAACAACACGGAATGAGCGGATTTGAAAATCATATTCCAATGTCATGATTTTCCGCCGGCGAGATCCGAAATTGTAGGAACGGAAGAGAACTCGTGTGATCTGAAGGGTTCGTGAGGCTTTGGAGTTGGGGTTTAAGCTTGCAAAATTTCTGTGGAAAAGGGGATGATCAAACAGCAGACGGTTACGAGGTGTCGAAGTCAGAAAACAACATTGCAAGCAAGAGCTCGATGGGGGTGGGGACCCACGTCGCCATGTGTAACTGCTCGAAATTACGGCCACGGACAGCCGTGGAGGATGGGAGGTAGCCCAAGCCCCGAGTCCTTTCTCCAGCCCAAGAAAGCAAGCGTTTGGCAGGCAGCTCGAAAAACACGGTGTCCGGACTCCAGGGCTATGCGGGACAAGGGAGTGCCAGCCGAAATGGAATGCGGGGACATGCGCACCCTGAGTGGCATCAAGTATCGCCGATGCACTAGCGCCAGTGCAACACCACGAGGCCCTAGCGTCATCAAGAAGCCCACTCCCCGTGCCAGGTCGAGTGGAACGGTGGGTATTGGAGGTCTCGGGGGAGGAGCAGGAGCAGGAGGTGAAGTGCGCGGAACGAACAAACATATACCGTCGCCATGGACTCCGCCCGCCGATCTCCATCCCAACCCTTACTTTCATCAGAGTCCCAGGATTAAAGTGGCAAGCCGGTTGACAATGGCTTCACGCGACAAGGAGTCGCTGCTCGATGAGATCATTCAGTTGAAGAAGGAGTTAATCCAGCAGGGCGAGAAGTTGCGAATGAAAAACGCTCGTAGCTCTGCCGTTGAGCATCGCAATCGGTGAATTATTCTCCGACAACCCTTTGCTCCGCTCTGCTGATTCTGTCCCGGAAAGCAACTCCCTCTTTCGAACATGTTGCGGCAAGTCTGGATTTCCAGATTGTGTGAAAGACTAGCTGATGCAAGCCGATGGCGTTGCCGTTATCTGGATCGATGTGACCTGCATTCATAGTTTTCACAACCAATTCCCTACACGAGGTCTCCGGACCCAAAGTGCTTCGTAACCATAGGTTGCGGGGACATATTGCAAGTCTTCATATGTATTTGGAATCACGTGATCGTTCTCAAGGTGGAGTCAAAAGGAATAAGTATACGTGCAGAGGAGATTAAAAACCCTCTTAATTTGTTCAGAAGTTGAGGACCTGGTGCCAATATTATATCTGCTTTGTCCCTGCTGGTGATGCCGGCCCTAAGTTGCCGCCTGTGGTCCTTCGGCAGGAAGCTGGAAATGGATGTATGTGCGTTGGAAACCACACTGAATGTTGATGCCCCCAGGACTGGTAGCCCCCATCGATTAAGGGCCAAGCTTCAAAGTCAGTTTCCTCCTATCCCAGCCTTCGCACTCTGTTCTAGATTGCGAAGCATTTCTCGGATCGTCCCACCCTTCAGGCAGAGCTGAGTAGGTTTGCTGCATCTTTGGGAGGGCAGGCCTCCAATTGACTGTTGAACAGCTTCAAGACACCTGCGACGCTCAGCGTGAGGAGTTGCAACGTCTACGTTGTGACATCCGAGCCACGCGCACGCGAGTAAGAATCTACACACCAGGACCACTTTCTGCAGTCCCGGAGTAGCGTACACTTGATGTTAGTTTATCATTTATCCCCAAAGTTGGAAAGACTGGCCAATGCAACCTTCGTGGAGCAAGTTTTGCTGGAAGTGAAGATCAGAAACCTACCTATGTTTCTACAGGTTCTGAGCAGACCGTAAATTGCTGGATGTACGCAGGAGGTGGAGGTTGAGAGAGATGTCTTCGCCAATGAGGTTAAAAGGCTTCAGAAAGCCATCAAGCGATTGCAGACAATACAGAACAGAATCAGCTGCGAAAATCGTGATCTTGGCCGGTTCAAGACCAAGTGTCAAAAATTGGAAATTGTCAATCAGCGTCTTGAGAGTTGCATCACGGTCAGTGTTCGAGCAAATCCGCGGACGATGCAATACTCAGTCTTTGTTGCACCTAACTTGACGGACTACCTGCTCACGGGCAGCTTTTTCCCCTCTTGTGAACTTCTGTCAAGCAGGCTAAATCTATCAAACCCCAGGCTCAACCTCAGAACTTCACTGGGCCCATAAGGCACAACATGGTCCACTTCGACCACTCCCACACTCCTCGTCGTGATCGATCACGACTTGGCAGCCGACAGGGCCCGAGGCCCACTACTTAATGGAACTGACAACGCAATGAGCTGCATATCCTGCGGTGTCTTCCTGTGCCTAGGTTTGTTCCTCTTACCATATCCTTCCCCAATTCAAACATTTGAAATCTTCCCACATCTCTGGCGACCTCTAGTATTATGCAGCCGATGCCGACTTTCAAAACAAGTTCAACTTCTGTAAATCCTCAGAATTCTACTGTTGTGCCATGGATCCACTCAGCTAAGATCAAGCTTGGTGTCGGACACGTCGTATAACACCCCCCTCGGCTGTCAATGAAGTCACATGTCAACGCCCGCTCAAGATTCTATGCTCCCAGGGCGAGATAATATTCTGCCTAAGAACAGAATCCTAAGTTAGCCAGTTTCATCCAGCGAACCAAACTTAACCGGCTCAAATGCTTGCCGTACAAGCTACTATGAATACTATCTAGAATCATAATAAGTTGAACAATAAAACCATCCGTGCATTATAGGTGCTGCAAGCGCACCAGCAGTGACAATTGGAGAAGAATTCTTCCGGGATGCAGCACTTAAGAAAGTCCAAGATTTCAGCTACCATCTGAGGGACCCAAATGGATATCTCATCCGTTCAGGTAATTGTGTCCCTACACTTTAGAGCAAGGCATTTGCATGTATTACCTCCTGCTTATACGTGACTTTCTTCCGGCTCTCTCTGGTTTCAGGTTGACTATGTGTATAAGGCCCAGCGCCGTTGATGATAGATCAACGTGGTGTGCAAGAAAGTACGTCTAAAGGGTAATGTGCTTTCCTCTGGAGTTTCACTAGTTTTTGCCGAATCCTAAGGCGGAATTTTTGTGAGCCCATCTTCACGATTTAGCATTTCTTGCAGTTTCTTCTTGGACTTTCATTCCTATCCATCTTCGCTCACTGGGATATGTGATAACTTGGAATTTTCCGGGACCTTAATTCGTTTGATCTCTTACATTCACTGTTGCCCTTTCGATATTCAATCTCTAGCAATTATTCTCTCTTAGTAGGGTACTCTCTCAAGTTGCCGCTTTCATCAAAAGAAAGAGTTCAAAGCAAACCAGTGAAGCATGCTTTTTGTTGTGCCCACTGGAAAGATCTAGAATAGATACCTTCATTTTTTCCACGGAAAGGGCAAACTTCTTATCAAACCTGACCCATCATAGCTTTATTGAGATATTTCTACTTACATGTTTGTGACATGCCCCAGCACCAGGAGGAAAGGATGGGCTAGCAGGTACGATGCAGTAATCTGGAGCTTTTGACATGAAGCGGTTGGTCAGGTCTAGGATCACCACTAAATGCTTTCAAATCGAAATCCGGGTCAGTGTGCTTTAAATCAATAGCAGCGGCAAGATCCTGATGTATGCCACGACGAATAAGATGATCTTCAACGAGTATTGGTAATCAATTTTCACCCTCTGACGAAAATACTGAACTCAACACGATGATAGTTGTACATCGGACTGTAATATCGGACTATTTGCATTGTTTACAGATGAATGGTTGAGTTCTTTCGAGGCTCATTGTTGCTGGAATGAGATTGATTACCAGGTTTCATTCGTTCAGAGAATTTAAACTGTTGTTGCTGGTTTTCCTGTTATATGGGTTGTAGTTAGAGATAAGTCAACAAGATTTGTCTTCAAAGACAGATGTAAGAAGTTCGAAAGTTTGCGGGCAATGAATTGAGGTCCTCTTATGTATTCCTGATCCTAGTATCATAAACTTATCATCTCTGTGTTATATTTTCTCTCTCTATGTCTAATGACATATTTGTCACGCAGAGATGAAGATTTTTATCCAGAAGCTAAACCGTATATGGAACTGGCTCATTCCAAACAGAAATATTCCTGTTGGTAGTAATTGCTACGTCTTCGAATTCAGTAGCTTTTACCAATAATAACCAGCGCATTGGAAATGAAACATTGATGTTGCGGATTACATCAATGTTTCAATTCCGTGGAATGACAAACTTTTGCACGGAAATCCATCTATAACAACTGTCACATTCTGTACATCTATGACAAGTGCGAAAAATATGATACATCAAATAACGAATCATTTGGAAGTTAGATACCTAAATGAGGCAATGAGATAATAATTTGATTGCACTTTCGGGATGATTCTCTAAATGTGTAAAGATAGTAATAGAGAGATGGAAGCGGATGGATTTGAGACAAAATGTTCTTTATCAAAGATGAACAGTTGAAAAGTTTAGCAAGAAGATTGTTCGCAGAGTATGTTATCATATTGTGTCAATTTAGAATGGTTTCTTACAAGACATTTCGTTAATAACATTTTTTGGAAAAAAATTATCTTTTATTTATTTTCACGAAATTATGTTCTCATGATTGAAAAAAATGTCAATATTGCATGGTTGATTAAGATGATTTGATATTATAAAAATGATCCAGCTTTTCATATAAAATAAAGATTTTTATTATGATGATGTTGTTTCAAATTTCAATTAATGTCAATTTTTTCATTTCAATAATATGTAGAGATACAATTATATATATTTTATAGCTTATACTTGAAAGTAGATAACTCAAAATGAAAACACATTGTTTTAGTTTATATTACTTTTTATCTTATTAACATTAACAATGATAAAATAATTGAAGTAAAAACTATAAAATTTTGAATAAATTTGATTATTTTTTAACTTGAGTTTTTATATTTAACATAGTATAGTTTTAAAATTTTGAACCTTTTTTAAATATGTAAAAATATGACATATTTTGAATATGTATAATATGATTTAAATAGATTGATGAATATTTACTATCAATTTTAATTAAGAATGACAATAAACATTGGTTCAAAATTCTAATATGAAAATGTCTAATCTAATACTTCCATGTCGGGATTCAACATTCTCACTTTGAGATAAAAAAAAACTACAATCAAGTTCGTTTGACATTATAGTATAAGATAAGCAATAGCGTTGAGGCGACAAACATGTGCGAGCATTTGACAAGAAATTCATGAGTGCATTGGAATCTACATCAAGTTGGATTGAACAGGAGAACAAAATCGCAAATGTTGAGAAAATTTTGTGCAGAACAAATCATCAGCAAATCTTTTAAAAAAACGGTCAAATTGCATCAAATTTATAGACGAATTCAAGAAGTATGAGTTGTGTAGACAATTCGCAAATGCGCACACAAATTTGACAAGTAAATTCCGAAGTGGCAAAATTGACAAGACAAATATTTCGTCAAAACTATTACAAATCCATCCACAAAAATTAGATAAATCTTATGTAAGACGTCACACACTCTTGTATTTTGGGTCAATAGTACACTCGTTGTACACATTTGTTTTCCGAAACTTATTTTTCAGCTTTCTTATACTCCATTTCCCCCGTGTTGTTGAATAATCGTCACTATATGGATTGTATTCTTTATGGTGTCGTTTGAATTTTGCAAAACCTAGCAATGTAATCAATTTGACCGCATGCATAACATTGACGATTGTCACAAACTCTTGTTACTCTTTAAATCATTCCATTATTTGTATTTTCTTCTTGTAAATTTAAAATTTTTAGTCGTAAATTTTCACATCGAAATCTTGAAGTCGGTTCGTATGTTGGTGCAAAATCTTCTCTAAGTCAAAAGTTTTCGATTCCATTAACAAAAGTTCAAATGAATCTTGAAAAGTGTTTAATGGTTCATCGTGTGTAACACCATAAGCTCCCATAATGAGCAATTGCAATTGCTTCGTTACCCGTGAATGAATTGTTTATGATCAACTTCTTCCAAATTTGATATTTCAAACCTTGTTCGAACATATCCAAGTCTTTTGCTCCATTTATATCCATAATAGATACTTGAAGATCACATGATTTTTCAATATATTTATGAATGTATTCTTTTTGTTTCAAATTTCACAATCTCATTCTTGACATTGAAAATATTTCATTATTTGAAAATTCTGCAGAAATCTTTCTTGCATTTGATTTCACAAAATGATAGCGTTTTGTTTAGAGAATATTCATTTTCATGTTGTGTACTATGTGAAAATCTTATAAGTAAAATAAAATGTCATGAATATTCTTGCAATATAATCAAAAATATGAAAATGGTAGAAATAAATATTTATCATCATAATCTATAACTCTAAGACTCTCATCGCTCTATTTCTTTTGTAAACTTCCACCTTACATGATTTTCCCATTCAAATCAAAAGATTTGTTTGATTTTCAATCTCTTGAAAACGTCTTCTATTTGAATCTTCTGTATCAATAAGTTTTGATTCTTGTGCAACTTGGAAAACTTAAACTTAAGGTTCAATTTACATCTTTCCAACTCTTTTTCTCTCTAACTTTTCATATTTTAATGCAAAGATTTTATCTTCAATGATTTGTTGTTTGAAATGTCCATTTACTATTGCTTTTCTCAACTCTTTCATCTCCGCCGTGATTGCATTTACACACAATATCGATTTATGTTATATCATTGAGAACCGATATTGATATTCAACCCATATCAATTGATGTTATCATTTTTACTCACTCTAATATAAGATAAGTATAATAACTAGTTGAACTCTCAATAAAATAATAATAAAACATAGTCGATTTTAAAACGTTTCTATATTACTAATTTCTATAATTTTTCACAAGAAAATCTATTCACAATATCTTCTGTCAATATATTGTTTTAATATCAACATATGTGTTGAATCGAACCAGGGTGGATGGTTTGCGATTCAAATTCATTAAACATTCAGTATATAATGTATATGGTACAATCCCAAATCTCTCCGTAACTAAATATTGGAAGTATCAATGGTACTTCGATTTCATCACTCTCGTCATGAAATTGGCACGCCAACAACTCACAAAGTACATCAAAGAATGATGTTTCTGTATACAACAAAGATGAATATCAAATATGTTTGGAATTGGTCAGTGCTATACTTGATATCTTCCATGCAACTTCATATCTACAAAATCACAATTTTTCCCTTTTATTTTTTCTCTACATGCAGATCAATGAACTCTGTCAACTTCTAAACACTCTAAAAAAACTGCACTCTATCATCACTCATTTCTATTTCATGAGTGATAATACACATTCAAAAAAAGAACAAGGTAGCTCTGATACCATTATAATTATATGATTTAGATAGAGATTCTTGCTCGAAGATAAAATATAAACTCTAAAGATGAGATAACTTGAATGATTTTCTTCTCCCATATATAGATACTTCAAACACATACACAAGATAAAGCATTCTCTTCATCATCCAATCTCCTCATAATGAATTGGTAACATGGCGGACATACCTAATGAACATACAGGATGTTGACGTGTCGCTTACAACTAACACAACAACTAGCATATTCAATCATTACCTAACAAGCACATGGATTGATGACGTGTTGTTCACAACTAATATATCAACTAGTACACAGATTGTTGATGTGGCATTGTAAATATTTCACTATCATCTACTCTACTTAATCTTGAGTATCATGTATTTTGGTTCTAACTAATTAAATATGGTTACGCATAATATCTTCAGTTAACTCCTTATATAATTACTCTATCCTTTGATAATTGCGTTTTAGTTTTAGTTAACTTTTGGTATAAAGATTGAACTTGTGTTATGAATCTTTCTAGAATTTCACGCACAATAATTATATTAATTACGGAGTTTACAGTTTCCTCTATGCTAGCAAGTTTTTTAATTACCTCTATATACTTTTACTATATCTTGTTATGAATATGACTTAGTTTTAATTAACTTTGATTAACTAGAGTAGCTTTGAGTTAGGTTTTTTTCTAGAATTTCTTATAAAGTAATAATATAGAATACGGAGTTTACTGTACTTAAATATGTGGCAGTAAAGTAAGTTATTTGGTTGTACATCTTTATCATGTATATGTTTTTAACACAAAGGGTGATCAATTATCATTTTGATAGCCAAAATGCTTTATATTTGGCTGTAAATTAGACCAAACGACATTGTGCTACTACGCAGGTTGTGCATGTAGAGCAGAGATACAATTTGTTAACATAGTAATTTCAATTCTTTCTTTATGTGATTACTCTATCATATGATTGTTAGGGACTAGTTTTAGCTAACTTGTGTTGTAAATAGTAATCTTGTGTTAGACTAATTTTTTGATTTTACTGTGAAGTAATTATGTATATTATGGAGGTTAATGTTTCTTTAAAAAAGTTAGAAAAGAGATTGTTGAGTTACATGAGATTGTTTAACTCCGGTTAAGAAATAACTTCAATAACTATAGATAGCTAGGAGTATCTTTGGAGCTAGGATATTTAACCTTAGGGTTTATGTATGACACAGTATTTTTTACATTCTCACGCGTATGAGCTTTACTATCATTATGTAGATGTTATAACGTGAATCACGTTATAACTTGTATACATCTTATGTTGACTCTTGTTTGGTGTTTATTTTAAATAATTTTGATCATATATGATTTTTCGACTATACTTTGTTTTAAATTTAAATTAAATACAAAAAATATATGTTTTGTAATAAAAATTAATCACGTGAATATTTATGTCAAGAATGAGAATTGTTAGTAAAGTTTGTGATAAGATGATAGAGTTTTAATTCAAAGTTTGAGTTGTAGTAAAGCATTTACTTCAACATAGATTTTTGAGTTGAAAATATAATGCACTTCAACTCAGATTTAGCAACTATGATGAGTATAGTTAGTACAAAAATATGAAATCTTTAATGCACAAATTATGTTTGGTGAAATTGTTATATTTTTTAATGTTATGGTGATGAGATTATGTTGTTGTGAAAATTTGTTGCATATTTAAATTCACGCAAAACTTGGAATAACACTCAAAGCTCCAAAATTGAAAGTAGTGACACTCCAAGGGAGAAAAATAAAATTTATAACAATAAAACAAGACGTTGTATTGATACTAAAAGGGCAAATACAACTGATGTTGTTGAGAGTGATGGACAATATACTAAAGATTTTGTATTTATATTGCTAGGACAATCTAAAGTGAGAACGTTGGCACCGTTTCTTTGTTGGACTTTGTCCAGAGACAAAGTCCACACTGCCTCCTTGTTTGGAAAAATTTTGCATTGTCCGTGACAACGTTCTAAAATAAATAAAATACATGCAGCACAAAAATGGAAGGTGTAAAAAAACGTGAATGTTTAAAGCACAAAAAGTGTTTTGACAAGTTTTGGATAAATAAGAATGTTAGTCTAGTTAGAGAAAAATCTCCAAGGCCTTGATGGAGTAAAGTTACATGCAGCACAAAAATGGAAGGTGTAAAAAAAACGTGAATGTTTAAAGCACAAAACGTGTTTTGACAAGTTTTGGATAAATAAGAGTGTTAGTCTAGTTAGAGAAAAATCTCCAAGGCCTTGATGGAGTAAAGTTAGTGCTGAAGACGTAGGATTTGAGTGAATTTTGTGGAAAGATATATGATTTTTTTCACCTAGTCAAGTGTTTAAGCAAATTTTGGAACGATGATAGCTTCGATCTAATTGATGAAGAATATTCGATGCGTCAATGGAATGAAGTTCATGCTAGAGATGCAAAAGTGAATTTTGTAAAGAGATACTTGATGCTTGGAACTTCAAGAGTACTTTAACCAGTTTTGGATTAATTGTAGGTTCAATCTAGTTGATGAAGAGTGTTAAGGTGTAAATGGAGTGAAGGCCATGATAGAGTGTTAGAGTTAGAATGGAGTTTGTGAAAAGATCCGAGAGTTCTTGTAGTGTCAAAGATGTTAAAGGAGTTTTGGATTTAAGGTAGTTTCATTCTAGTTGAGGGAGAGTGTTCAAGATGATGAAAAGTCATGCTAGAGATGTATAACTTTGAAGTTTGATGTAATCTATGATCCTGAATTTCTATTATTTCAATTAGACTGATCTTATTCTTGTTTCAGTTTTACTTATGACGTTTGAGTTTTCAAGTAAAAAAAATTCGTTGGAAATAAGCAAAGTGTGTAAGCTTATAATTCTTCTAGTACTCAAATCCAAGTTGACTATATACGCTTCCAAAAAAAAGTATACAAAATTGGATGGATTAACATTGTTAGGCCAAAGTTAGAAATTTTTCCTGTAGGTAATTCGTACGATTTACCTACAGGAAAAATTTAATGTAATTCGTACGAATTACAGTTACTTTAGAATTTCGTAAGATGATCTACTAAATAATTTAAAAAATTCTGTAAGGAGCCAAGATTTCTATAGCATCTTTGTCTAGAGCTTTAAGGAGTTTTTTTATTTGTTGTTGCTTGATGGGTTCGCATTTCCTCGGTGAGGTTAGCGAGATACTATATGGGCTCCAGTGTTCGCAATTTGGCAACTCAAGGAAACAAACTAAGATTCATGTGTGGTGTAGTGAATGCAACATATCATAATGATGTGTGATCATGTGTTTTTCTTGTATGCTAGATATAAACTTAAGTGAAATCGGATATCATGCTTTTACAAACTTTGCATAACATGCAAGACAGGTTTCACATGTGTTTTGTTTCGTTGTATTTTGGTGATTATATTATTGTTCGGTGAAAACGTATATATCACCATCTTTTTGAAGATAGTAAAACATCTGTCATTTTCCTAAAGGTAATGTATTCTTAACAATTGTAAAGATATCGTGAGTAAGTTTATAGTTCAACTTACAAAACCTTAGCTTATGCGTTTACCAAAAGAGTTACCAAGAAGATAACTACTATTAAGTGTCACCAACCGTGCTGATCCAGAAAGCCCTACCGTAGTTGTAGAACTAACATTCAAGACTATGGAAAATTGATGCTCACTCCTTTCAGCAACCTGCCAACCATTTTGAGTATGTATATGAGTTCAGCTTCGAGGACTTTCACACATGCCAGGATGATATATTTTAGGAGTGTGAAACAAGTTTCGAGCGAGAACCACCTTTAGCTCCGAGAACATGTATTAATTCTAGGAAAAGGAAATATTAGTGTGAAACGGTGCTGTTCGATGGTGGTTTTAGATTTTAGGCTACAATGAGATGAATGCAATGGGTGAAGACTTTGTGAAGACTCAAGGTTAGAACTTGCGTAACTTGAATTTGCACTCCAAATCAATTTGTATTCCTGCTATGCTTAGTTTTGTCTACGTTCTCCGAAGTGACCAGAGTCCGTAGCCGATTAGACAGCGTTCCTCAAAACCGCAAAGGAGAGAGATCATCCGGACCCTGTAGGAACGCTTGTAGGCCCCGCAGTGGCCAAGACAAAAATTCGCCTTCCTGCGAGGGAGGTAAGCAGAATGGCTTTATTACGTGGACATTTAGCAGTTTCAGACGTGGATCGCACTGACACAAACAAATGTTGTCTACAAAACGTACCTATGCAAATATGGCACCAATGACAGATTGGATGGAAGCTTAAGACTCTGACGTACTGGCAGGTGACACACTAAATTCGCAAGCGGGGCATGCAGGCAGACATCGGTATTTTGAGGCACAAGTTGAACAAAGCTGCCCTCGGTCCCATGTCGCGGTGATGAGCATGTTTGCCTCCAAACAGCTAGGCCATAAGTATGAATGGAAGTCAGTCCCAGAGATGATCGCAGGGACCGGTACATATTTATCTCGTGAATGACCCCGTAATCCTGGAAAAGTAGCTCTGAAAATTATGCCTCAGTTATGCAGCTATACGCGTCGCGACTTAGATCAGCCAAAAGTTAGACTTTCTGTAGATATATAACTGCAGAGACTAGGCTTGAACATAACTCCGGATCCGATAGTAATTAGGCACTCTGAAATTTAACATCAAGCCCAAGCTCTTGTAAGCCTGGAAAAAGAATATGAACAACACGGTTATCGAAAATCCGCATGCCAAAAGCAGTCAGTTGAACAACAAAGAAGGTGCTGCATTTGAATGTCCCATGCTAATGTAAAGGTAATCACATACGGTGAAGGCACAGGTCGCCTGCGAAACAAACGAGAAGGACAATTTGTGCACCCGCAAAATGATAGAGTATATATGAAAGAGTGGTTCTATACTTCACTTCCCTTCTATAATACAGTTTGAGGAATCCCCAAGACGAGCAACTGCTCCGCTGCATACTACTTATCCACAAGAGACTTGAAAATGAGCTTTTCGCCCACCAAAGCTTTACAGGCACGGTTTGCAGAACGTGTTGACCTGTGCTAAAGAGCGATAAAAATGATATAGTCTAGTCTGGAAGAGTATAAAAAGATCTGGAATAAATTCCTACATGTCAACTCAGTGTAATCTACTTTAACTCACAAGAGCACCCCGCTGCAGGGGAAAATGAACCTCAACCCAGCCTGGGCAGAAGATACTCAACCCTGGATGTGCACAGGATTGGCAAGAAAAAAGCGTGTTGATGTATTGCCCATATGTACCGGTTCCAGAAGTTCCGCGCTTCCAGAAACTTCGAAGAACGTGATCTCACCTCAGACTTTACTCAGGATCACATTGCTTTTATTAACATTTTCTCCCCCTAGCGTGCGATCACCGTTTCTTTCTTGTATGAAAAGTGCTTACGTCGGAGTCTGCATCAATCCTAGGATTCAACCTTGGGTACCTTGATCTCCAAAGCGCCATCGTCCTTCGTTGTACTTTGACTAGCACTGGACGAACTCTGGCTTGCACTGGCCCCTTTAAAAGATCTGCTTTTAAAGACGTAATCTTCTGCGTCATTTTTTGGAACTTTAATCTCCAGCAGTCTCTCAACTGGGGTCCGGCAGATTGGACAGCGATTGGTCTGGAATCTCAGAACTTTTGCACACTCACTGCACATGCACTGATTCCATTCAGGCAAACAACTCAGTACTTTGGCCATTTTGTTGGCACGGAATCCTGGCACATTAGACGAAAGAGTCGGAATGCTTTTCAACGGCTTAAACATTGGACATCCAAGGAGAAACTGCGTTCAACGAAATCATCGTACAAATGGTCACACACAACAATCTTGTCGAACGCCATATTGAAGAAAATAAATGGAAGTGCACTACACGAGATGGACAAGGCGAAGTCTCCCAGAAAAGTGCTTACCATATGTCTACAAGGTAACACAGTTGTGTCTCTTGGCTCCGACATACATATAACACACTCTTTACCAGCATCACTTCCGTCATAAGCAGTATTCCCACCACTATTCTCGATACCATAAATCTCTTGAAGATCATAACGTATACCATCAACCCAAATGGTCTGCTTGAGCACCTTGACCTTGTATCCCTCTGACAATGGGTTCTTCTCCACAATAGCGTGGGTTGTTTGGGAATGTATATACTTCGGAAGTTCCGCGCCAGGAGGTAATTCATCTTGAAGTGAAGCACTCGCCGAGGGATCCTTCGGTTCAGTCTCTGCTCTGACAAGCAAAGGATAAACATCGTCTGGACCTTCCCTGCTAAGTTCTCTCTCATCGAACAATGCAAGATTCACTCCAGTTCCGGGAGCTTGCTTGAATTTTTGGCCCAAACCCTTCTCAAAAGGTACTCGGATAGGTTTGTACAAGTGCGGCTTCAAAGGTGTCAGACTGCAACGATCACCCTCCTTGGCAAGGAAAAATATACTGATACTGCACCAAAAATTATCACCAGGGTTAACAAGCCAAGCATTTTCACCTTGATTACCAACCTCCAAACTGTAGAATTTGTTCTTAACCTCGCAATTACAAACAACCATGAGAATCCACGTTGGAACGACAGATGATTCTTAAATCCTCTGTCGTTCTGGAGCACGAACTACAATAAGACCTGGAACTGCTTGCATCTGAAATCAGAAAATATATTCACGAACACATCGTGTAATGAGACCTGTGATGCTCAAGTCAGAAAACCCTTCTCAGCGATTCAAACCACAACCAAAAATCAGCTCCATTGGTGTTAGAGACAAAGCTTTGACTTATGTATCAAATCCTTTAAACTAGAACATCGAGTTTTCACGGTGACTGTGTTTGTACTGGTATCCAAAACCCTATTACAACTCGTGTCAACCAGCTGACATTGATGATGAATATGAAACATGCGTCACCGAGAAAAAAGACAGCATCACAATGTCCGCAGCACAACGATGGAACAACTCACACACTGAAGAGATTATAGACAAGGGATAAAGTACAAATCCCACCGTGTCCCATCCAGAGAACATGGATGGCCATCAAGACTACAGAAAGCTGTGTATGTCACACTTCAATGTGATGGTCTCGAAGAAAAACCATACACGGACACAAGTCGTTTCAGCATGACACAAGAATGTTACGTGAGAAACAATTCTAATTCGCTTCTTTGCATCACACCTTCTTCGCAGTTAGACTTATCCCATCAACTTCCATTTAAAATCATGCAAGTCAAACGACATAGTTCGAAGTACTAACCTGCCTGCGACAGTGGCATCGAAGGTAAACGCTACCAGATAAAAACCTGGATTTTCCTCGTCCTTCTCGAGCCTAAGAGTAGGTTTTTTCAAGTTGACGTCATTTCGTATTGTGTTCGCTTTCTGAGCCTCTGCAACTGGAGTTGGAGGTATCTGCTGGGGATGAGGTGTGGGTATTGTTGGTCTGTACATCGGCTGAGTAGGATAATTCATCATAAGGTGCCCATTGCCGGCTGGAATGAAATTTTGATAAAACTGATTACCCATTGGTGTTGGCATTGCTCCATTATAGGTCGGAGGATATGGCATGTGGTATGGCATATTGTGATGGCCGTTTGGATAGACTGGGTAAGTAGGGGCACCGGCATTTCCTGGATAGCCAGGTGGGGGTGGTATGTTCCCGCGTGGAGGCAGAGGCGGATTTCCAACGGGGTTGTGCTGTATCCGCCCATTCCTGCGGTTGTTGCTCGAGTTGTTCCCCATTACGTTGATGAAATTGGTGATGATAAAATCAGTTCAAAACACCTACGTCGGAAACTCAAGGTTGGGTGAGAGAATTGTTTTCCAAACAGACTGGTCGAGAAAGAGGAAGATTCACCGATGTACGATAGCCAGTCACGCAAGCCGAGAACGCAGCAAAAGAGCCTGAAATACGTGCCAAAGCTCGTTCCATGCTTCAATTGCCGGCAGATCCCGCTTCACGATAACATGCGACCACGAAGAAGGTCAAATCCATCGCGTCCAATGAGGTTCTTCCACCCTCCGTTCAGACGATCAGCAACCAACCGAGTGAGGATCGGCCTCCTACAAGGATCAATCCTCCCTGTTCTCAAACGCAAACTCTGTTCAACCGAGCCCCGCCTACACCACCACTTTCAAGCCTCCCTTGCTTGCTTGCTTCCCTCCTTCCTCCCTTCCTTCACCCCGCGCAAAACAAATTTCCCCAATCTCAAGCGCTCGTCTATCACGCGGCGTCTACTACAGGTCCAGGTCCATCAATCGCACGTGATGTGTCAAGTCCTGTTCGTTCGCCTGTCGTCGTCCTCCTCTTCCTCCTCCCCTCCCTCGCCAGACCGGCGACAGCAACAACCGCAACAACAACTGCCCACTCCGCAATCGACTATTGCTCTCCCTCTCCCTCCCTCTCCCTCCCTTCCTTTCCAATTCTCCGATCAACACTCGCAAATGCCGATCTGAGCACTCTCGCGGCCCCCTACAACTACTCAAATCCCCAACGCAATTGGCCGCCCGGGCTTTAATCCGGCGCCTCGATCTCTCGCTCGCTCTCTCTCTCTCTCCGGCTTCGAACAAGAAGATCGAGACACGATCTTCGCTCGACGCCCTCCCCCTGCCTCCCTCCCTCCCTCCACCCCTCCCTCTCAGGGTTACAAGGGATATGGTGGCATGCACAATTGCGCTCCCTCTCTCGTCCTCCCAGCAGCGTCCAGGCTTCAGACTCCACCGGGCGAAGGCGCGGGGAGCGTACCAACGAAGGTCCGATAGATGGCGCGGGTGGGTAGGCCGCTTGCCTCGGGTCGGCTCGGGCCGGCTCGCGTCGGTGAACCCCGACCCGACCTGCGTAACGGAATGGTGAGGTAAAGTTAGAACCCGTGAGCCAGTGAACGAGTCAGTGAATCTTCCGCCCTTCGACGACTAGCGCCACCACCATCACCGTCGTCGTCGTGACAGAATCACCGCCAGCAACCCGAAACCCGGCGAGGACCGTCGCACAGAACCCCGAGAGAGTGTTGTTGTTGCTCTTAGAGGCAATTGGAACCCTCAGAACCTTCTTCACCGGAACCCTCAGACCTTCGCGGCTAAGAAAAGACACGGGTCTGCGACCGGCGCAGAAGGTTCTTATTGCGGTCGGGCCACCCGATGATATCGGGGCGATCCTCGAAGCTCCGGTCTGCGACCGACTCCATTGGTGGCTTCATTATTGGGCTCCAAATTTGGCTTTGATAGCTGTGAATTAGACGGAGTTTGTCGCCACGCGGATATGCTCCTTCCAGCCCTTTCGGTACATGCCCCGGTGAGTTTTATCCAGCGCTTTGACCGTCAACGCTCCGTCCTTGCCGCGCGTCTCTTTCTTAGTTACGATCCTTCCTGTCCACTTTTCACTCGGGGAGCGTCATCACCCTCGAGGTCGCGTGCGACGTAATTTTCTCCGCCCTTCTCATCTTATCTGACGGTCACTCCTTCTACCCGAGGGTCAGTTTACAGAATCCCACCGAATCATGTCAAGTGTCCCGTTGGCTTTCGCGCACACACAGCGCAGGACTTCCGAGCTTCGGCACGCTCTGTCCTGCGGTTTCTCCTTTCTTCGTCCACGTCAAAGCTTTGTAATTTGTCGAGTCATAACACGTGATTAATCAATGGACACTTCCATGGTCTGCCGGTTTGGGAGGTTTGAGAGTTTACCGGCTCTCGGCACGCGTATTTGTATTGGATCCTCTGTGTTAAACTCATGCAATCTAACCCGAGTTCGCCATGACTCCAAGGAGGCTCTGTAACGCGGTGAGTTGCTGTGCCTGGACGGGTACTCCACCTTGAAGCAACTGTGGTCAATCTTCTAACCTACAGTACCAAACCAAGAGGCGCTCTTGGTGCTTCGTACCTACTGCAAGGTACAGTACAGTTCGTACGTGAGTCAGTTGTACTAGACAATATATTCTGTTGCTTCGAATATAGAAGTACTACAGACTTTTAAGGCGGGCCGTTAGCAAAGAAAGAGAAAAGACATGAACATTTGCTTTTTCCATGTACACACTTCGTCCTTTGTTATTCTAATATTTTATGAGGAGGGATATTATTAAAATAATACCTTTAAATATGTAAATAATTTTTTGATAAATTACAAATATTTATGTTATTATTAAAGGCATACTAATCTTTTTAGTCGACTTTTGAGTTTTCCTTACCATTCAAATCTATGAAATTCTCAAGCAGTCCTAGTTTTTCCCAATCACTTTCTCAATTTAACGAGTGAAGATAGATAAGGTGTACTTCGTATCACTGGATATCATTTTCGTTCATTCACAAACCTGAATTTGTGCAATATCCGATGGAAGAGCTGTCTCCTCCATCTTTGTACGTTTAAAAGATTAGGTGTTTGCAATAATGGATATCAACATTCTCTGAAATTGTTGCTACATGTGCTCCAGTCGATTTTACATAATATATTATGGTTCAGATGTCTAACTTTTATATGTAAATCTTGACATGGTTTGTGAAGTCTGTGAAGTCCATAAATTTGCTTTGGTGTTTTGCATGTTTCTTTGTTACGTGCCTACACTTGTAACCAGCGTTTGAATTGATCATCTTCTCGAATTTTTCCTACATCTTTTATACAATTATCCACATCCAACAAAATGTTAGAAATACTCAAACCAAATTGTGAAGTGTGCAGATTTGCCTTCATGATGTACATGTTTGTTATTTGTGTGATTACATCGGAAACCAACATTTTCTAAAGTCGTTTCTACACTTAATCACATATTTTGCATGTCTAATTACGAGTGTTAAAACTACTCAAACCAATTTATGAAGTGTGCATTTCTGCTTTGATGCTTCACGGGTTTGTTAGTTTTTTGATTGCATGGCAGCCCAGATTTCTCATAATGGTTACTTCACTACTAAATTTGATCATCTTCTGGGTGACAAGTTGTGAGATAACAAAAACCAATAAGAGTGAAGTATAATTTGCGTAAAAATGTCATATATGTTGAAATGTGTAATTTGCAACAATTTGTTTTACACAATTGCTAATAAAATAAAACCGATTCTAATGTAATCTAAAAGTTTACCAAAATGTGCTTATAGTTTATCACACAAGTTATGCATTGAAGAAAAAAACACTTAACTATCCTAAGCTTTTAATTTTGGAACGCTAGTTTAATTACATATATTTACTACATGCAAGTATTATTTACAGCATTTTATCATTCTACATTACAACTAATTCTTTCTAAAAATAAAAACATAAAAATTATAAATCAAATCAAGAAATCACACGTGCAAAAAATCAAATCACAAAACAAAAAATTAATCTTAAGATCAAATGCATATGTACATGTATTTTTTAAGAGACAAAAATTTAAATTTGAAACATAAAATTTTGAATATATGAATAAATAAATTTAAATTTAAATTTATAGTAATAATTTTTTTAAATAGGAAAAAATTTTAGTTTTATCAAAATTAAAAAAATTAATGCAAGAATAAATTAAATTTAAACAATCTAAATTGATAACTGATTTAGTGATGTATTCAAGCTAAAATTAATTCTAACAAAAATTTACGAAATTTCTTCTTAGATACCAATTATATCAATGACGATAAATTATTATTTTTTCTTATTTAAATATTAAAATTTTTTTCACATTTTAAAATATGATCTTTTTTCTCAGAGAAAATTAAATAATTGGATAAATAAATAAATAAAAGTTATTTCCTTATGTTTGAAGATCTTTTAATCTTTGATTAAAAGTATTTTTAAAAAATCTTTGAGTTAACAAATTAAATGAATGACTTAAAATGATATCTGCTAACCTATTCGGTTCAACAATCGAGAGTAAAAAATTTGAGACTTCTTGAATACTAAAATATCTTTAATGAAATAAACTCTTGAATTTAACTAAAATTAACTCTATTCGGTTATAAATTATAATTAAATAAAATTTGTCATATTCATTTAATGATTGATACATTTCCATCAATAAAAGCGGCTGACTAGCACTTCATTCAAAATTTCAGTCTAAAAATCCTCCTAAAAACTTGAAAGGTACTAGATAATATAATTCTCATACTTCGATGGAAGAAAATTACATAATGAATTTGAAAAAAAATATTAAGAAAATATTCCAGTACACTATGTTATTAAATTTAGAACGGTAACATAAGTTTTACGTGAACCTTTTTCCAAAACAGTTTTATTGTAAATGTAAAATATCAGTTCATAGAAATCTAGATCTCCTGGAGTGGTATATTACAGATGGCTAAAGCCCCCTATGAGCAGCCTCCTTTGCCTTCCAACTAAGCAACGCAAGAAGAACCCAAGCCATTCGAAGGGCAAAATTTAAAACGAGATCAATATCTCCATTCGGTAAGAATGCAGAGATTGATGAAGTGATCACATACAAGTGATCAAGTGATTTTGCTTACATGATTGGTAAAAATAAATAAATGTTCTCATGAGATGATATTTTGACAACTCCTATATCTAAAGCAGTTTAAACTGAAGCATGTTTAAGTAGGATTAGACTAGCCCAAAAGTAGTCCGTAAACTACTGTATAGAAATTGTACTTTCCTCTACAAACGATTTTAAAAAAATTTACATTGCCATATCACTTTGCACTTAAAAAAATTACGATTTATTCTCAAAATCGAACCTTCTGACCATCGCAAATTCATTCATATGTATACTTTTTTGGGGTAATTTTTGGATTACAAGGAGAAAGTATTCCACTAGATTTACCTTATTATCTTTGCCATAAGCCAGAATAAATTAGGCAGACAAATGAAAATGAATAGATTACATAATTTGCTCGCAAAGTTGTCTCTTCCCTGTGTCTAGATAATTTATTTATACATTAATCTTATTTCAGGCAATGAAAGATAGTGTGCTCACTGTCATGTTATATTCAAGCTACGTGCATTTTAAGTGTAGGAAATTGAGTTCTTTGACATTGATAAGGGTTGTGATTTGAATAAAAAACATCTTAAAGCATTACTTCATAGTATAAGATGTGTGTGTAACTTGCAGGAGATAAGAATGAACTACTTAAACAAACAACAATGTCAGAAACCGTGATGAGGAAGTCAGACGTAAGACCAAAGCCATAAGTCTTTCATCATAGAAAAGATAATAATACTGATCCTAAACTATGATTACAATCCAGGAGTGAAATGAATAAGGTACTGAAGAGTGAAACTATAAGGTACAATCCATGGCCTAAGAATTCAAAGCCATGTGATACGCGGCTAGAAGGGTTCCAAATGGCAAGAAGTCAAAAGCAAAGAAGCAATATCGTCGGAAGTATTCGCATGAAACAATTGTAAAATTTCCTTGTCACCTTTACCGTCCATAGAACATATTCTTCAGAACACAAAACAAAGATGAAACATTATCGTTGCCACGCCTCAAGACAGCAAACAACAACTTGCATTTCCGAACAAACACGGAGTAAAAATAAAGAAAAAGAACTCGTATTAAGTGCACAAACGATTGAAATAAAATATCGAGTGAAGGTCTCCATCATCAATCAGAAGATTGAATTTAGCTGGTGATTGATTCTTGCCTATAAGTTTGGTCAAAATGCGTTCCATT